GTTTGTCTCTGTCCTGTCTGTGGTCCCGGTGCCCAGGGGTGTTACACAGCTGTGTGCTTTGCAGGTGAATCAGCTCTTAGGAGGAGTCTTCTCTGGCCTCGTGGATGGAGGCTGGAGGCTGAATCACCACCCTTAAGCTGCATAGTTAGTCAGCGGGGCTGGGGCTGCCTGGAACCTCACCTTTAGGAGTCCTGATCTGGAGAACAGGAAACCTGGGAGGTGCGGAGAAGGAGGGCAGACCTCGGTGCAAAGGCCAGAGCCCTGTGGGCCAAAACAGGAGGCTGTGCCTGTGAGCTGCACGGGATGGTCAGCGTCTCCCACACGAGTGAGGGTGACGGATGACAGCTTCTTTGCCAGCACGATATTCATTCTCTCCCGTTAGAGGCAGAACCACCTTCCTCCCCTACTCTGGATGGGTCTTCTGTTAGCTGTTCACACGACTTGAGAACTCCTATAAATGTGTGAACAATGAAAACACCTGGGGCATTTTCAAATGAACTGAGACCAAACTAAGTGTCCTGTGTGCTTAAGAAATGGATCCTAGATAATATACGTGTTTCAATGCTGTTCTCTTGAAACATCCCACCCTCGCCTTCTCCCAGAGTCCACAAGTCTGTTCTATACATAGGGTGAAACAGTTCACCAGCCCAGGTTGGGTGCACGAGACAAGTGCTCGGGCCTGGTGCACTGGGAAGACCCAGAGGGATTGGGTGGAGAGGGAGGTGGGAGGGGGGACCGGGATGGGGAATACATGTAAAAAAAAAAAAAAAAAAAAAAGATACACTATGGTTGTGATAAAAAATAAATAAATAAATTAAAAAAAAAAAAAACTCAACATTCAAAAAACTAAAAAAAAAAAAAAAAAAAAAGAAATGGATCCTTTGAATGGAATGCCTTTTGAAGTTCATCCTTATCAAGTCTCATCTTATAGAATGCACTAGGCGTAGTCTGGTGCTTACAAAGTTGCGGTCAGTTTCTTTCTGACAGCCTCTCCCCCAGATGCCCCTTCCCCCACAGCTGCCTTCAAATCTCACTGGGGCCTGGTCAAGATCTGAAACTTATCTCTCTGAAAACTAACTTCTGTGAGATCTTAATCCAGGTTAGGTGAAAGAAAGCTCTGCTGTCCCAAAGGCTGGATAAAATGGTAAATTAATCAGAGGCCGGGGAGCTGATTTACACAGGATTAGCAGTGTATGTTCTGTGGTGCTCCAAGGAACAGCCTGGCACAGAAGCAGTGTTCTCTAAATTGAAGTCCAGCAACATCTTTTGGATTCTAAGATTTTTATGACATTATCATCCCGTCGAATTATTCTGGGATTGACTAGCCAGTTTAAGTAGCCAGAAAGAATGGACACACTTTTGGAAGCACCTAAGTTACTCCCAGTGAGTGAGAGCATAGGACGGGGGGATCATGCAGCGGGTGATGGGACCACAGCCTGCTGAGACCTGAGTCTAGAATCCACCCTACCCCTGTATGGAAGGGCGCCTCTGGCCTCCCAAGCCCAGCAAGAATTCCCTGCAGGCTACCTGTGCTTCTTTTCTTTTTCCTTGTGCCTGGGTGATATACTTTTACTTGTCTTCCTAACAGTTTAGGGAGGACAATAAACCTGTGTAGTAGTGCCTGCCTCACCAGCAATGTTTGGAAAACTTCTCAAGAGAGACTGTGCCTTTGTGAATCAGTGAGGACATTTATAAGTCAATAAATCCCACTTTGAAAATGCCAGCAAGTTTAGTTTCTGGTCAGCCACTAAGTGTTCCTGGGTAGTTTCACTTCTAAGTTTTACAAAGAAAACTGTTTAACACTTAAGGTAAATAGTAACCAACCCAACAGCAAATTTCTCTCCTTACAACTGAGGAGACCATTACTTTCCTATCCTGGCAGGACAGATGGTGCATTGATAGAGCAGTGCAAGTACAATGGTGAGGTTTCTCTGCTGAAGTAGAGAGCAGCGCCATCATAGGCAAAAGTTAACAACAGCTGCAGTGTGAATGACTTCAGAGGAAAATGATCTTAAACAGAGTACAACAGGAGGAGCCGTGGACTTAAATAGCAAGGTGAAATTCTGAATAATATTATATAGAGCACTATCCTGGGAAACTTTCAGGCCCTGGGAACTCAACTCAGGAACTTTGGAAACTCAGGGCTGAGCAGGGTCGGGGCAGAGCTGAGTTGTCCTGCGGTGGGCAGGACCTGCCATGGTCAGGTGTTGGCTCTTCCTCAGGCCGTAGAAGGCTGACTTTGGGGTCAAATGAGCTTCCTATACAGTCTCTGTGGCCAGGCAGATTGGAATGTGGGGTTGCCAAAGAAAGAAGGGGAAAACCTCATGAATAAGAAAGGAACAAAACCAGGAGATGCTGCTCTAAGGAAAGAGAGTAGATATAGGACTAGAATATGATAATGTTTCAGCTGAGATTTTAGTCACTAACCTAAATCAGTCAGAGTGAGGGGAAAAACCAGAGGAGTGAGCATGGGCTGCATCCTGGGGCAGCTGCTTCACAGGGGCTCCGTGGACTGTCTTCTCTGTCTCGGCTCAACCTCGCAGACCAGGTGCGGAGATAACTCGCCTGCTCGTCCCCAAGCTGTGTTCAACTCCTTGTGAGCTGATGGGCCGTAGCCCGCCAGGCTCCTCTGTTCATGGGATTCCTCAAGCAAGAATACTGCAGTGGGTAGCCATTTCCTCTTCCAGGGGGTTCTTCCCGACCCAGGGATCGAACCAATGTCTCTTATGCCTCCGGCACTGGCAGGTGGGTTGTCTACCACCGAGACAACTTGCCTAGTAAAAGCCAGAACTGAGCTGTGACTCCCCCAGAGTTACATGCTCGGTTCTGTAACTGGGCAGAACTTGCCAAGGCCGTGTGTCCCCTCACATAAAAATTCACTTTTGTGAAGCTGCAAATTGACACAAGATAATCAGAATGCTAAACATCTGGGCACCTGGTGAGCTGTGCTCACCCATCAGGCAGGAGCAGACAGCTCAGGCGTGCGGCATTCTGGACGCCTGGCCCCATGTGGGCAGCAGTCGGCATACGACTAACAGAGCTCACCTCCCTCCCAGTTTCAAGTAAGCAAGTATATAAACCAGATCTTCCCGGGAAGCAAAAGGTGTTAAAAAAAAGTAGAGCAAGTTCAGCAAGGTACTAGAGACTGCCTGGAGTGGAGGGGGATAACTTTGGTGAGTCTCCTGCCTCAGATTATCAGGGAGGAGACTAAGGAAGAATCTCTGAGGTCAGAGGTCAGGACATGAATATACCTCCAGGAAAGAGTGTGTGTTCAGTGAAACCTATGCCAGGCTAATGACCTCCTCCCCATCAGCCACTGGGCTGAACAGTGTCTCCAAAATTTCACATCTACCCAGAAACCCAGAATGTGAGCTCAGACACAGGGTTTTGCAGATCTAATTAAAAGATCTTGAGACAAAATCATCCTGGATTTAGAAATGACTGGTACCTTTTAAGAGAGACGGTGATCTGGACTCAGACCCAGGGAAGGAGGCCACGTGAAGATGCGGGCAGAGATTGGGAGTGATGCTGCCACAAGCCGGGGATGCTTGGAGCCACCAGAGCTGAGGAAGGGAGGAAGGACTCTCCCTTAAAGCCTTCAGAGGGGCCACGGCCCTGCTGACACCTTGATTTTGGACTTCCAGCCTCCAGAACTGTGAGAGAATAAGTTTCTACTGTGGAAAGCCAGCAAGTCTGTCCCAGCCTTTGGAGGCAGCCCTAGGAAGCTAAAGCAGTCAGACGCAGAAGTAACCGCGTCTTCATGAGACCGAAGCACTGAGGCGCACAGGCTATGAGGACCACTGTTCATCGCGGCCACGTGAGTCCTCTGCTCTGAAATCAGGGTTGCGGCCGTGAGAATCACAGGAGCACTGGGTGATGGGCGGGGGTCTGAGAAGGCGCCCTCCCACTCCTAGGGTGCTGGAGCCTCTGGGGCTCTGGCTGAGACAGAAGAACACCGGCACGCTGCTGTCTGCTTTCCCAGGAGGCAGCCTGCTGCCTGACAGCCTGTGGATCCCCCTCAGCTCTGGGAGGAGAACTGTAAATCCACAGGACCCAGCTGCACTGCTGCCCTGGGTGAGGAGCAAGCAGGACTTGCCAGGGCTGGGAGACGAGGGGCTCCCTGCCTCCCTGGTCTCCTGGAGCTAATACCTGCTCTCCAGGGCTGAGGGGGTTGGGGCAGGATTCGGCCACAGATTCCATTCATTCAACTGAGTGAAAGGTATACCCACTGTTAGAAGAAACAGAATTAGCAAGTTGGGCTGCAAATAACTGATGCAGTGCTGTGATCAAGAGGGAGAGATCTGAGATGAAAGAAAGTCCTTGTGAGGCCATATGAGAGGCTAAACACCTGGCGCTCAGCTCACCGCCCCCACCAGCCCCTCCCCAGCTCCAGCCTGTTGACAGCAGAATCGTGTGAGGAGCCTCAGGAAGCAGAAGCAGCGTCTGCTTACCTCCTGCCACCACACATCGGAGCCAGCACCTGCCTGTCCACCCAGCACTCTGTCAGCTGCCAGCCTCACGTGGGCTGCTTTGCTGGTTTTGCTACCAGTTCTGCCTGCGTGAAAGCCATACCTCATCCTCTGCTACAAATTAACACAGTATTCAACAAAGGGAATGCCAGGGAAATAAGACACTAACACCAACCATCCTGAGAGCACCCAACTGTGCAAATGTAGCCGAATAATTAGATTTTCATTGTAGAGTGGGAGAGGCACCAATCTGATGCCAAAGACAATCAGTTCAATTTAATCCAAAATAAAGGCTATGTTGTGTCCATGCACGCAGGCGCACGCGCGCACACACCCCGCTCCTGACAAACTCTCTGCTTTCCTACGATGGAGAATGTGACTGTTGACTTCGGGTTGTTTTTTGTGCCCCTTGCCGCTGCTCTCTGGGGCTCTCCCTAATGATCACATCAGCCCAGAAACACGCAGAGGCCGCTGCCGGCCCTGCTTTCTGGCCCCGCCTGCCGCTCCCAGCGCTGGCTGCCCGCGAGTTACCTTTGCGATCTGCACACACCAGTTGAGCAGGCACTGGGAGCCGATGTTGTCCTTGTGCTCGCGGACATAGTCCAGAAGGCAGCCAAAGGGCATGAGCTGTGTGATGAGCTGCACTGTGGAGGTCAGGCAGATACCCAGGAGGCGGCACACATGTGGGTTGTCCACGCTGGCCATCACATAGGCCTCCTGCGGGAGAGGAGGAGAGGGCACGTCAGCGCGGCTCCCCACCACGGCCACGGGGACGAGCAGGCAGACCCTTTCTAGACTAAAAACCCAGCTTGAGTTTAAGTGTGGAAGTGGGTACACGAAACACCTAGAGCAGTGGATGCTCACATACGGTCTCTGGCACGTGAGGCCGGGCAGTGCCCAGACATCTGGTGGGCGGCGGCACCCTCTGACTACAGGTGGCATTTGGAGAGACCCTGGCAGTGCTCGCCACTGGCAAAGTGCTGGGTGAAAACAAGACCTGATGACCCCAGGTTTGGGTGATGCTGAGTCACTATGAGGACCTCTGCCTCAGAGCCAAAGATGCCTCAGTTTAAAATGCTGTCGGGGTGGGTGGCAACCCACATCCTGATGATGACCTGGCCACTGACTCCGGAAGCCTCACCATGGGCACCGAGGTGATGGTGAGAGCTCTGGGAGGGCAGTCCTCACGTCTCCTCCTCTGTGGCGGGCAGAGAGGAGGAGCCCCCCCCCATCCACCACCCTGCCCCCAACACTGCTGGGACCACAGGCAACTCCACCACACACAGCGGAGAAAGAAGGCCTTTCTGTGTACACGTGCTGGCTCTGAAGCGGAGAGAGGACATTACACCTGCAGTGATCGCAAACTCTGTGGGCGGCCCAGGATGCATCTCTTAAGAAGTGGTCTGTGTTGCCGGCCGCAGTTTGGGGAAAGGAAAACCACTTCCCCCAACCCTACCCCTGCTGACTCAGAGGCAGCCAGGGCAGGGGCCTGACACAGACCCACGACTACGGATTTCATTTTAACTCTTCTGCTATCCCTGGCTGGAAGACGCTGACTTCATTTAAACTAAGCACATAGCTGGGGCTTGTTTCTGTCTAATTAGGGAACCCTAAATTTCTACCAATAAACTCAATCTCTTTCCCTTTAGAATACAAGGATGCTGATCTTTTATACAGACACAAAAGGGACCACCTCGCCTCCAAGAGAAAGTTCAGAAGCGCCTTTCCTGCTCTGCCCACTGATGTGATCGGGGGTGGGCTCCCTGTGCAGAAGCCGATGCAGCCTGGGAGGCGAATGCACCTGAGGGGCTGCCGGGGGCTGTGCCTCAGGAGCGGACAGCAGGGACAGCAGGTGGGTGGAGAGACTGCGGCGAACGCAGAGCCACAAGCGTCCTCAGTGTCCTAACCACCAGCGTCTGCCGTAACCCCTCCCCGGGCCTCACTGTCCCAGGGAGGCCCCGTCGCTGCGCTGCGCTGCGCCTCTCCTCCCACAGGCCCCGCTGCTCCACCTGCTCACTGTTCTCCCATACCCGCCCCCGCAGGGGCTTTGTCCGGGATGCCGCTCCACCTCCACCTTCCCTGGCTGGCCCCTCCTCCAGGGGCCTCCCTGACTCCCACCTAAGCTAAACGTTCCTGCTTCTTGCAGTTGTTCACTCAGGGCAGCGGGCTCAGTGCTGCTGGCAAAATTGCCGGAAATGCTGATTCTTGGACCCATCCCGGCGGGTCTGCTGTGTGAGCTGCAGGGAGTGGGAGCTTGTCTAGTGTCTCCCCTCCCCAACACCTGTTCCCCTGTGGTGTTCCCGTGCTGCCTGACACCCCTCTACGCACAGAAATACCTCAGAAACATCACAGCTGAACTACACTGAAATCACACAAGTCAGAGACCCTGTCACTTGCACGAACAAGAGAGACTGCAGCTCTGCTACTTCTTTTAGAACAAGCATCCTGAGTGGGCGGTACTCCACCTTCACGGGCAGGTGGCCCTTCTCCTCTGGTTGAAAACACAGCATCACAGTGTTAAAGGGCAGAGTAGATATTTAATACTATGGACATTCAGACAGCTCTTCATCTTTCGGAGGGCTACTGATAAAAAGCTACTGATGCTTTCAAATTGTGGTGCTGAAGAAGACTCTTGAGAGTCCCTTGGACTGCAAGGAGATCAACCAGTCAATCCTAAAGGAAATCAACCCTGCATATTCATTGGAAGGACTGATGCTGAAGTTCCAATAGTTTGGCCACCTGATGCGTAGAGTTGACTCACTGGAAAAGACCCCGATGATGGGAAAGATTGAGGGCAGGAGGAGAAGGGGGTGACAAAGAATGAGATAGTGGCATCACTGACAGTGGACGTGAGTTTGAGCCAACTTGGGGAGATGGTGAAGGACAGGGAAGCCTGTTGTGCTGCTGTCCATGGGGTCATAAACAGTTAGACACAATTAGCAACTAAACAACAAAAACAACTGATAAAAATTTAGGACTGGAGAAGGCAGGCAAGTGGTTCCTCCTGAAGCTATTATTCGTCTGAAGAGGAAACTGAGACCCAGTGAACCATGCCCAAGATCACACTTCTTGTCAGGGCTGGTCCCACGAGAGTCTTCCCACCCCAGGCCGCTGGCCTGCGGGGCCCCTCAGTTGCTCCCCCCCCTGCTGCTAACTCCCCCCACAGACCGGGAAGACTTGCTGAGTGAAAGCTCTAGACCTTATAACACAGAGCACGTAAATGAATCCGTTCTGCATGCTCTTTCTGTGCCCACCCTAAATTTAGACTAGAAAGTCTATGAAAAAATTAATAGGCCATGCGATTGCCAGAAAAGCAGGAATCACATCTCTCCCCCGAGTCTGGGAAACTGTACAATCATAACACCAAAGAAATCCTCTGGCTGTTTCTATTTTCTCAAGATCTGGTTGAGATTTGGAAACATGTTGTACTCGCTTCAGACGGGAGAAAAATCCGCAGAGCAGAGCAGTCTGAGCGGCCCATCTGCCGTGGGCCGTGAGGAGCTGACCCAGGGCTCAGGGAGTGGAGCACGGGTGTGGGTGTTGGGCCACCCAGAGCCTGGAGCCCTGCCAGGTCCTAGCTCCTGTGAAGATCTGGTACCGCACAGGCCTAGGCTGTCCCTTCTGCACCGCGAAGCCTGGGCTCCCTGGGGATGCTGCCCAGTCACGTGTCCTATGCAGCGTGTGCCGGAGTTAACGTGAGCTTTGTTCTTAGCTGTTTATCTTGGAACCTCAAAGGTGCTCTGTGACCTTCAGCAAGAATGCTTGGTATTCCTCACCATCTCTGATCAGTCTGCAGAGCCTCTGAGGCTTGGCGACCTTGACAATCTATTATTTTGTCCAGTTGTCGAAATGATTGTTTGGGCCTTCTTTCTTGCGCGTCTCCCTCATCTGTGAACTAGTTTATGTTAAGGACTGGGGGAAAGGGATTTCACTGAACATTAAACTCCTTCAGGAGAGGCATACGCCCAGCTTTAAGAATACTTCTGAAGCTTCCCAGTACCGAAGCCACCACTGACGGCACACTGCACCGGGGCAGAGGGCACGTGTGCCGGACCTTAGTGCTGGCCTGGGCAGGGGAATGAAAGCTGGGAAGCTGGAGCCACTTATAAGTGCGTGCGAGCCAAGCCCGACTCAGCCCCCTGGGCAGCCTGGTCGCAGCATTAACTTGCCCTTTAACGCAGTGTTGAAACTGGCCTGTGCTTTAGTTTTCCCATCCCTTAGGGGCTCGCCATGGCAGCATCCACCCTACGAGGGTGGCTCCGTATCTGTGGGGCAGACGGAGCTTCAGGACATGCAGAAGAAGGCCTCATGCTGCTGTCCTCTCCCAGAACAGCCACAGGGTAGGTGTCAGAGCAGAAAGAAGAAAGCAGGGGCGGGCCAGAGGGAGAGAAGGAGAGGAGCCCAAAGACAGAGCAAGAGGCAAATAGGGCTTTCAACACTTTTTCTAAGTCTTCACTTTCTCTATTTTCTACCCTACCCCTGCCCCATGAAAGCAGATTTCCTCCAGTTTTAGGGGTCCTGGAGGGTCCTTTTCAGAGAAACTACTTCTTTCCCAAAGTATTGCTACTATCTTCAAAACTGCCCTTACTCTGCACAGAGAATATTGTCAAAACTCACATTTTGTGAAAGTTATTAGAATGTCTTGAATGAGTAAAAAGTGAATTAAGGAAGCAAATTCTGCTAAAATATTTTCTTTTTAACTGTGTAGGAGAAGGAGCTAGAGGTTTAAGTGAAGAGACTTCACAAATGGCCTGCTTGTTACGCTTCTTCTGGTTATGTAAATAGGAGCTGATATTATATTAACAGACTCCACATTAATTTTAAACTGCTAAAATGAAAGATAACTTGGCTTGATAAGCATATCATTAATGTGTGAGATTTCCTGTTGCACTGCGTTAATAATTCATCCTTCACAAAGAAAATACTGCAGTGGGACTTCCCTGCTGCAAAATGAAAGGAGGGAAGCCTGCCTGGAGAAATGCAGATGGAGAGGATTTCCTCTTGGGAAGCTCAGTGTCTGAACACAATTTTAAAAAGGCCTGTTTGCTTTGCTTACCATATTATCCTGTCGGTTAGATATGAGTGGGGAAATATTACGTTTGACCTTTGTCCTTCTTGGCTGCAAGATGAACTAAGTTCTCTAGATTTCTGAGTCAGTGAAGGCAGTCACTTTCCTTTTTCATTGACTGTTCTCCTAACTCATTGTTGAGCCCCTCCACCTCTTCTTTTACTGGCTCTGCTTTGGGAAAAGAGCAAGAAAAACCCACATCGACCCACAGCAAGTGGTGGCAGTGCTGTTAGCCCGGGCCCACAAGGGTGCATCCCCTAGAACTTCCTGAGCTTCTACCTGCAGTATGTTCTGCCAGTGCCAGGCTGGCCCCTCCTTCTTCCAGCCTCTTTCTAAGATCATGCAGAGCCCTCATTGGCTAGTGAGGGTCCAAAGGAAGACAGGAAAAGTTCAACGGAATCTAAAGTAAAAGCATATAACAATAATAACCTTATGGAGTATTTCAAAGACTCCATAAAACAGCACTCAGTAGACACTAGAAATAACATTTAAATTATTTTGAGAAAAAGTACAGAAGGTGAGCAACAGATTATAGAGTTTATGGAGCATGAGACTGTTAATCCTAGGCACCTTTAAAAAGCCATTTCAAAGATGAGATATTTGGTGGAAGAAAACGAACACACATTTCAGAGTCAGAAGTAACCAGGGGCTGGAAACCCACCCAGCTGTGTGACCCCTGAGCAGGCTGCCGCGTGCTTCTGCTTCTCTCCCGAGGCATGCTGAACACAACACCTACAGCACCACAGGCCGGCCAGAGGCATCCCTGAGATGGCAGGGGGAAGCCACCAGCCCGTGGTGGACGCCCAGGGACCACAGGTTCCTAGCCTTTCAGGGTGTTAAGAGAATAGAAGAGCGAGTCATCTCTATGAGAGAGAATTATACCAGCTGTGTAGCCAGAAGGAACAAATACAGCAAAAGTGAAAAGTGACCACTTAGAATGTGGTGACGAGAAAGTCTAAAACACAGAAATGAGCTGCCAACCATGAGAAGAGGTAGCTTCTGATGTCCAGGCCTGCAGATAGCCCAGAGAACAAAACAGAAACTCACATCAAGAATTTCCTTGTTGGCTTTTGGAGATGTGGCTTCTCTTAACTCCTTGATAGCTACAGGAATTTTAACCTTCTCGCCTTCTGGGATCCAGAGTCCCTGTAACAGAGAGAGGAGAGGTCATTGGCTGGCAGCTGTCACACACGTAAGATGTGGCTCCTGGCCTGGCTGGGCGTCATTAGTGGCCATACCCCAAAGGGTGAGGAGGCACAGCTCTGCACCCAAGGCCACCCAGGCTGGGAGTCAGGACAGCTCAGCATCTCTTTAGCTGTTGTGTCCCAGGAATCAGAGTAGTCAGATACAACCCTTCAGCTAGTGTAAGTTATAGAGTCAGTGTGAGTCATTTTGTACAGAATTCTGGGTCCAGGCCTAACTGAGATCAGACTAAGCAAAGAGGGCATAGAAAAAATAAATGAAGAGGAAGCTGTTTTGAGTTGGGCTTTATTCGGATGCTGCCCTGAGGGGACCAGGCCACACTCTTTCAGATTGACTTGTGCTACCCATCCTCTAAAAACTCACCCTGTCCTCCATGAAATCATCTGTGCCCAAGTGGACCACTTCCTTGTCAGTCTGATTATAAAAGATCTCTAGACAACCTAAGAAAAATGCTGGCATTTCCTAAACCCCCACTGACACAAAGAGCACTCCACTGCGATGAGGACCACAGCAGAGGACGGGGCCCCCCAGAGAGCCTCAGGCTCACCTTGTACACGGTGCCGAATGCTCCTGAGCCCAACACCTTGATCTTTTTGAATTCTGTTTCCTTTAAGATCCTCAAGAGAGCTTGGTTGGGAGCTTCTCCGCTGGGAGTCAGAGGCTCCACGAGCTGTGAAGGACAAGGGGAAGAGCTGATGCCTGCCTGTCTGGCCCAAGGACAGGGTAGCAGCCCCTGACACCATGTGGCAGGAGGCGCGTTCATGCTCCGGCCCAGAGAACTTGCCCCGGTCACTCCCCAGACAGGGACAGCTGTTCCAGGCAACCTGCTGAGAGATGATGAAAGAACCGGGACTGACAACTCCCACGTCCTCCAAAGCAGGTGATCTTGAACAGAACAGCTCCTGGGCAATAAGTGCCCAGGCTGGGGGTGGGGGTGGGCGGGCAAGCTTGTGTGGTGGTCATTTTGGCAGCCCATCCGAGCCCTGCACAGCCATGCTGCTCAAGTTGCCGTGGGTCCCTCCTCCTGGGGGCTCTGGCTTTGACCCAGGGATGGACACGGATACCACCTGAAGACCCTTTCCTGAAATCATGGTGTCACAGACATGGCTCAAAAAAGAGCAGTCACTGGTGGGAACTGCGGCATTTTACAAAGTGACACCTCCTGCGCTCACAGCAACTCACGGGCCTCTGGGCACCGGCGTCCCCCGCGCTGACCACGGAGCTGAGCCAGCTGGGCGGCCGGCAGCACAGCTGGGTAACCGCCAGCAGGACTTACCCTGGAAACAGCTGCATGTCACTGAACACAAGCACCAACGTGTATACGCACTTGGTTATAACTGGACATTCAGAGATTCTCCTGGCTTTTCCATTACAATAAAGCACAGGCGTGCCATCTCATCTCCAAGACAGCGCCTGGGGGTCGCCCAGCTCACCTCTCGCTCCTGCAGCAGCCGGCGCAGTGTGCGCTTGCGCACGATGTGGCGCCTGCGCATGAAGAGGCCGACGCTCAAGGCCAGCAAGAGCACGAGCAGCAGGCCGCCCACGATGCCCGTGGCGATGGACGGGATCTTGGGCCTGGAACAAGGTGGACACACACGGGGGGTTGGTTGGTCATGTGGGCGTTCCCTGTATTCCCCATGCGTGTGGATGCCATGCCATCATTTAGAACTGTCTCAGTGCAATAGTGCACAGCTTGTCAAGGAGAGAGGCAGATTCATATTCCCAGCGCAGCTTTTCAACTTCCTTCAGTACAATAGCCTCCTCACCCCACCTTTTTGGATTTTTAAAGTGGGTATCATTTGGACTTCTTGCTATGACGAGTATGTTGTCGTCTGTTGATTAAGGGAACATAACTCAAAAAATAGCTCAGTCACTCATGCCTTCCACACGAATTTGTGTGCCTCTCCTGGGTGCCTCCACTCGTTAGAAGCACACCCTCCCCATGTGATGTCTGTTGACCAGGCTGGACGGAGGGACCCTTTCAAAACTGTGGAGACTGCTTGAGGGATCCTGGACTTGTAACATGGGATGAGAAGCATGTGAATTGCTGTATGGATGTGTGGAGGGGTAAGGCAGGGACAGGATTTCCACAAGGAGAGCAGAGCTGTCATAGGTAAGTGATGTCATTCTGCAGTCCCCCCCCCCCCCCCCCCCCGGCCAGGGGAGAACACCCAAAAGTCAGTGGGGAAAGAACGGTCTGAGTGAGTAGATCCTGAATTTATAGTCTTCATAAAGAGCTACCGTTTTTCAAGTACCTGTGCCATCTGAGCTTCTGGAAGACTTTGTATTTTCAGGCACTTAATGAATATCAAAGAATAATTAGTAGCACAATTTACACACACAAAATGTGCCAGCATTCTTCCAGATTTCTCCTAAGTGTCAAATGTACTTTATGTTAATAGTCCTTAGAACACATTCTTCTCAGCACATATAAAAGTCATGTCTTTAGTTACACTATTCTCCTAATTAATGTAGTTTGAATTAATGGGTTTTTACTATTTTGAAGGGGACATTGAAAGGTAAATGGAATAATTTGTACAGAGTATATGTTCCATGGATAGTAAGGGTAAGTGAGTGAAAAGAGGACAGATTGAAAGAATGAATATAACAAAGGTCGTTGATTGGTTTCAGGGTGGGGATATGATGGAAAACCTCATTGCTAAGATACTGACTGTAGCATGAAGAGAGGATGAAGCTTGCTGGTGTCCTCATGGCTCAAGTGAAGAGGGGCATAAAAGGCAACCTTTGTCTTTGAGAAACTTCCCTATTTGTCTTTAATGTTTCACTTATAGTAGAAGGGATTGGTTATCTTGGCTAATTCTTGGGCAAGAGACTGAGCTGACTGACGCTGAGGAAAGTTGTTGAGGGGAGGAGTTTTGTAAACATTAGTAGGGATGGTAGAGGTGCCTGGATATTTGGCTACTGTTTGGGGGTGTCTGGTGGGTGTCTTATGTATAATTCTGACTCCATGACAGATACTATTAATTGATAATATCATTCTTCCCTGATGAGTCTGAATAGAAAGTCTCAATTCTGCTTTTCTCTGGGTAGCATTTCAGGCAATGACGGCAAACAGATTACAACTGAAATGCTGAAGGAAGTCATGTGTTTAGAAAAGGAAGTAAGGGGAGAAATCCCCACAGTTGGAGCTCTGTCATCAAACCCCCACAAGCTGAGGGTCAACTGGGTCAGCGAGGAAAGAGAAGAGAAGCTGGAAGAGAAGCATCATCCAATGATACTGTGACCCGTGGAGCAATGACGGGTCGTATAGATAGAGAAGGACCAGGTGGTGAGGCTGGCTCTATGTGGAAGAGGCCTGGCACTGATGCCCTGTGTCACTCTCCCATCCCTGGGACACAGCCGGTAACGCAGGCAGGGTAGGTTCTGCTAGGAATGCCCAGTTTGGCCTGGGGAAGAGTGAGAACCTGCCAGGGCAGAGGGGAGTCGGAGAAAGCACTGAGAGAGAGAGAAAGCATTACCCTGCCCACAGAACTATTGGCCGTTTCTGGTCAGGCCATCAAGCACGAAGTGTCGCACTTACCCATCTGCCGCACAGCCTGTGAGACCTGGCCCCGTACAGCTGCAGGGATTGAAAGAGAAAGACACATGTCAGTCATTTTATTCATCGTTTGTTTCTTGGAGAGTTTTTACTAAATCATAAGCTGACGTCTGTCAAATTACTTTTAAATCATTAGAGTCACAATGTGTCTTAATATTGCTTAATCATTTGTTTATCATGCATTTATTCATTTGTTCATTCACTCAGCAAGTAGTTTTGAGTGTCCAGTTTGTGATAAGGATTGAGCAGAGTAGGCAGCTTCTGGTCTTTGTTATTGAAATGTTTTCATGTCTTACTTTTGACAGAGGTTCAGATGCCTGACAGCTGGCTCTAGAACATCCATGTGGGCAGGAGGTGGAGGGAGCTGAGATCAGAATCATTTCCTGGGCCACACTATTAAGGTGGGGGCAGACAAGTGTCAACGTGCATCTCGGGGCAGGGAAATGGGGATAATGTCAGACCGGGAAAGCTAGAAACTGGCTTCACCCACTTCCACACAACTAAGATGTTGTACATGAAGCATAAATAGCATTTGTCTTAACGTGTCCCCTCAGCAGCTGGGTTCCCATTCTGGGGGGCACCACTATCTGCTATTCTGATTACAGGATGATGGATGAAAAGGCAGAATAAGTTTGTCTTGAAGTACAGCAATATTTGTCAATGCAAGACTGAATATTCAAAAGCAAGACTGAGTATTCCAGTTCGATGGAAAAGACTGACATTCTTGGCTGGGGGAAGATGAAGAAGCCCTGTTCAGGTATGTGAAGAGGATTTGTGCTTGTTTGATGCACACTGCCATACGGTTCTATTAATTTTCTATCTCATTCAAAGGGCTCTCATCTCTGCACTGTACTCTTCTTGAGGGTCTAAGACCTCTTTTCCATGGTGTCAGACAATGTAGTTTTGGCCCTGCAAGCTTATGGACTTTCCTCCCTACACCAGACACAGGCTTCTCCTTTTCTCATAATCTGTTATCTTCTAGGAAAACCATAATCGTCAAAGACAAAAAAATATCTGCTAATGGATGAACAGTATGAAAAGGCAAAAAGACATGACACTGAAGGATGAACGCCCCAGGTCAGCAGGTGCCCATCACTGCTACTGGAGAAGAGTGGAGAAATAACACCAGAAAGAATGAAGAGACGGAGCCAAAGCAAAAAAAACAAAAACAAACAAAAACAAACAAAAACAGAGAACCCAGTTGTGGATGTGACTGGTGATGGAAGTAAAGTCTGATGCTGTAAAGAGCAATATTGCCCAGGAACCTGGAATGTCAGGTCCATGACTAAAGGTAAATTGAAAGTGGTCAAACAGGAGATGGCGAGAGTGAACATTGACATTTTAGGAAACAGTGAACTAAAATGGACTGGAATGGGTGAATTTAACTCAGATGACCATTATATCTACTAATGTGGGAAAGAATCCCTTAGAAGAAATGGAATAGCCCTCCCAGTCAACAAGAGTCCAAAATGCTGTACTTGGGTGTAATCTCAAAAACAACAGAACAGAATGCAAACCATTCAATGACACAGTAATCCAAGTCTATGGCCCAACCAGTAATGCTGAAGAAGCTGAAGCTGAATGGCTCTATGAAGACCTATAAGACCTTCTAGAACTAACACCCCCAAAAGATGTCCTCTTTATTATAGGGGACTGGAATGAAAATGTAGGAAGTCAAGAGATACCTGGAGTAACAGGCAAGTTTGGTCTTGGAGTGAAAAATGAAGCAGGGAAGAACTAACAGAGTTTTGCCAAGAGAATGCACTGGTCAGAGCAAGGACTCTCTCAAGAGCACATGAGACTAGACTCTACACATGGACATCACCAGACAGTCAATACCAATATCACACTGATTATATTCTTTGCACCCAAAGATGGAGAAGCTCTATACAGTCAGCAAAAACAAGACTGGGAGCTGACTGTGGCTCAGATCATGAACTCTTGATTGCTAAATTCAGACTTAAATTGAAGAAAGTAGGGAAAACCACTAGACCATTCAGGTATGACCTAAACCAAATCTCTAACAATTATACAGTAGAAGCGACAAATAGATTCAAGGAATTAGATCTGATAGACAAGAGTGCCTGAAGAACTATGGACAGAGGTTCGTGACACTGAATGGGAGGCAGTGATCAAGACCATCCCCAAGAAAAAGAAATGCAGCAAGGCAAAATGGTTGCCTGAGGAGGCCTTAGAGAATAGCTAGAAAAGAAGAGAAGTGAAAGGCAAAGGAGAAAAGGAAAGATTACCCATCTGAATGCAGATTTCCAAAGAATAGCAAGGAGAGATAAAAGCCTTCCTCAGTGATTAATGCAAAGAGACAGAGGAAAACAATAGAATGGGAAAGACTAGAGATCTCTTCAAGAAAATTAGAGATACCAAGGGAACATTTCATGCAAAGATGGGCACAATAAAGGACAGAAATGGTATGGACCTAACAAAAGCAGAAGATATTACGAAGAGGTTGCAAGAATACATAGAACTATACAAAAAAGATCATGAGCCAGATGACTTTGATGGTGTGATAACTCACCTAGACATCCTGGAATGCAAAGTCAAGTGGGCCTTAGGAAGGATCATTACAAACAAAGCTAGTGGAAGTGATGGAATTCCAGCTGAGCTATTTCAAATGCTCAAAGATGAGGCTGTTAAAGTGCTGCACTCAATATGCCAGCAAATCTGGAAAACTCACAGTGGCCACAGGACTGGAAATGGACAGTCTCCATTCCAGTTCCAAAGAAAGGCAGTGGCAAAGAATGTTCTAAGTACCGCACAATTGCACTTGTCTCATCCACTAGCAAAGTAATGCTCAAAATTCTCCAAGCCAGGCTTCAACATTACGTGAACTGTGAACTTGCAGATGTTCAAGCTGGATTTAGAAAAGGCAGAGGAACCAGAGATCAAATTGCCAACATCTACTGGACCATTGAAAAAGCAAGAGAGTTCCAGAAAAACATCTACTTCTGCTTTATTGATTATGCCAAAGCCTTTGACGGTGTGGATCAGTCACAGATCAACAAACTGGAAAACTCTTAAACAGATGGGAATACCAGACCACCTTACCTGCCTCCTGAGAGATCGGTATGCAGGTCAAGAAACAACAGTTAGAACTGGACATGGAACAACAGACTGACAGACTGGTTCCAAATGGGGAAAGGAGTACATCAAGGTTATATATTGTCAACCTGTTTATTTAACATATATGCAGAGTACATCATGCCAAATACCAGGCTGGATGAAGTACAAGCTGGAATCAAGATTTCCAGGAGAAATATCAAAATCCTCATATACACAGATGACACCACCCTTACGGCAGAAAGCAAAGAAGAACTAAAGAGCCTCTTGATGAAAGTGAAAGAGGAGAGTGAAAAAGTTGGCTTAAAGCTCAACATTCAGAAAACTAAGATTATGGCGCCCAGTCGCATCTTCATGGCAGATAGATGGGAGAACAATGGAAACAGTGAAAGACTTTATTTTGTGGGGTTCTAAAATCACTGCAGATGGTGACTGCAGCCATGAAATTAAAAGACGCTTGCCTCTTGGAAGAAAAGCTCTGACCAACCTAGACAGCGTATTAAAAAGCAGAGACATTACTTTGCCAACAAAGGTCCGTCTAGTCAAAGCTATGGTTTTTCCAGTGGTCATGTATGGATGTGAGAGTTGGACTTTCTCAGAAGCTGAGCACTGAAGAATTGATGCTTTTGAATGGTGGTGCTGGAGAAAACTCTTGAGAGTCCCTTGGACTGCAAAGAGATGAAACCAGTCCAGCCTATAGGAAATCAGTCCTGAATATTCATTTGAAGGACTGATGCTGAAGGTGAAACTCCACTACTTTGGCCACTTGATGTGAAGAACTGACTCATTGGAAAAGACCCTGATGCTGGGAAAGATTGAAGGCAGGAGGAGAAGGGGACAACAGAGGATGAGATAGTTGGATGGCATCACTGACTTGATGGACATGAGTTTGAACAAGTATCAGGAGTTGGTGATGGACAGGGAAGCCTGGTGTGCTGCAGTCCATGGGGTTGCCAAGAGTTGGACATGACTGAGCGATTGAACTGAACTGAATGGATGACCATTGGTAAAGTTAAACCCTACTCAAAATATCCCTCCTCATTAGTGTTTTTATATTTTCCCATTATGCCTGTCAGTCTCCAGAAAGTAACAAAATGGGAACTCTATGCAAAGTGGTGCAAACTGGAACTGCATACTTTGGACAAGAAGCGGGTTTCATGAAGCTTCTCAAAGTGCTGCTGGGAAACCTATGGGGTTTCTAGCAAGAATTTATTGACAAGAGATGCTCACAGTGAGAGCTCAGCCAGTTTACATTTGAAGAGATGATGGACGAGGGCAGTGATAGGACAGGTGTGCTAAGAGGGGATGATCTGAGTATCAGAGGATTAAGAGGTCCATGAGAGAGCTGATGGTCCCCTGCATAAGTCTACAGAAATGACTGTCGAATATCAGGCAAAAGACGCTGCATCATGCTGTCATTTAATTTAGTTAGAAAAATTACTGCTTGTCTGTCTCCCACTTATTAGTTTTTATTACATGTAATTAAAATTGGCAGAATTTTATACTGTTTAGCTTTTTGGCATAAAATTTCAAAGAAACCTTTCCCTGATACCTTATTATAAAGTATGGTTCCATTCAACAGTGGACGGGCTTTATGTTTCCTGACCCATTCCCTGGGGTAACCAGCCCTGCCCTGTGGGAATAGGATGGCTTCTTGAAGCAGGCATGCTCCCATAACCTGGGCTCTGGGACTGCAGGCTAATGACTCCAGAGCCTAAGTGTTCCTTTAACAATACAGATGGAAAAGCAGTGAGCTCGCTCTGAGACGTCAATGAGACTATCTGTTTGATGATGCTGTATACATCATAGATACACAATAAAAGATATGTTTTCTTATTTCCCCTTATCCTATCAATATTTCTCCATATTTAAAAAATTAAACCCATTTTTTATCAAGTAATTCTTTTGGATGAAGATACAGATAGTAATAACAAGATTACATAAAACTACATGCTTTTCTATCAGTGACACATGTTCACAGACACATACATAAACACAGTTATTTCCAAAAGACAGAAAAAATAGGAAAAATATATTTTAATGGGTAATATAATTCTATTTAAGAGACTCTGTTCCAAAATTCCTTATTATGAAGAAATATGAAAAAAATAGAGTGAAAAACTAGCAAACTATCATTTATATCATGCTTTGTAGAATTTGAAAATTACTCAATATAACAGCATGCTGATATACCCAAAGGGAAAAATCTTAAAATTGCTGCCAAGGAGGGGTCTGGTAAAATTCAAAATTCATTCTGGATTAAAAAAAAATAGTTCAAAAGTAGGAATAACTGTAGATAACTGTTTCTTTAACAAGATAGTAACTCACAGTAATAGCAAATAATGTTCTTAATGGTGATTTACTATAGCCATTCCCACAACCATCAGATATAAAACCGATATCCACTACCATTGTATCTGATATTATTCTAGAAATCCTGCCCTTTATAATATGATTTGAAACTTTTGGAAAAGAGATGAAGATACCATTAATGGAGACAATATGATTGTTTTCCTGGAAACTTCAAGACCATGAACTAAAACATTAATCTCAAAGGAAGTTCAATAAAGACCATCAATATGAGATGACTATACACCTCCACCAAAACAATCAAAAGCTATCTTATATATTAGAAGTAATAAATTAGAAGGTATACTCTAAGTAAGGTCCATTTCACAATAGCAAATGTAATACAAATAGAACATGAAAGAACAAAACTGTAAAATTTTACTGAAATATAAAAAAGAATATCTGAATTTATGAAGAAATTATCATTTCCTGACTGGAAATACAAAACATTATACAAATGTTAGCCCTAGTTAAATTGGCGTACTGGTTTTAGTGGGGATTTTGGATGCTAAACTTGGTAAAATACTGCAGGTCACTTGGAACACACCAGTAGGCTAGACTAAGATTAGAGGGGAAGACAATCACATGTAAGCCAATAGGAGATGCCTAGGCTTCCTTCTTGTTGCTGGGATTACTCTTCAGTCACCCAGGACTGAAACTCCCGGACCACAGGGTCATGGAAAGATGGTACCCTTCCATTTACCCCTGTAACAGCTGAGACTTAAGAAGGTTAAATAATGGAAATTGACCAGAATACAAGTCATTCCCAAATCACTTGTCTCCAGGCCCAGACTTCTCCATATTTGCTGTTGTTCAGTCACTTGGTTGCCTCTGACTCTTTGTGACTCTATGGACTGAAGCACACCAGGCTTCTCTGTCCTTCACTATCTCTTGGAATTTGCTCAAACTTAGGTCCGTTGAGTCAGGGATGCCATCCAACCATCTCATCCTCTGTCACCCCCTTCTCCTCCTGCTCTCAATCTTCCCCAGCATCAGGGTCTTTTCCAATGGGTCGGCTCTTTGCAACTGGTGGCCAAAGTACTGGAGGTTCAGCTTCAGCAGCAGTCCTTTCGATGAATATTCAGGATTGATTTCCCTTAGGATTGACTGGTTTGATCTCCTTGCTGTCCAAGGGACTTTCAAGAGTCTTCTCCAACACCACCGTTCAAAAGCATCAATTCTTCAGCACTCAGCTTTCTTTATAGTTCAACTCTCACATCTGTACATGACTACAGGAATAACTATAGCTTTGACTATACAGACCTGTCAGCAAAGTGATCTCTGCTTTTTAATACACTGTCTAGGTTGGTCATAGCTTTTATTCCAAGGAGCAAGCATCTTTTAATTTCAGGGCTGCAGTCACTGTCTGCAGTGATTTTGGAGCCCAAGAAAATAAAATTTGTCACTCTTTCCATTTTTTCCCTATCTATTTGCCATGAAATGATGGGGCCAGATGCCATGATCTTCATTTTCTGAATGTTGAGTCTTAAGCCAACTTTTTCACTCTCCTCTTTCACTTTCATCAAGAGGCTCTTTAGTTCCTCTTCCCTTTCTGCCATTAGGGTGGTGTTATCTGTGTATCTGAGGTTATTGACATTTCTCCTGGCAATCTTGATTCCAGTGTGAGCTTCATCCAGCCTGGCATTTCCCATGATGTACTCTGCATGCAAGTTAAATAAGCAGAGTGACAATATACAACCCTGATGGATTCCTTTTCCAATTTTGAACCAGTTAATTGTTCCATGTCCAGTTCTAATTGTTGCTTCTTGACCTGCATACAGGTTTCTCAGGAAGTAGGTAAGGTGGTCTGGTATTCCCATCTGTTTAAGAATTTTCCACAGTTTGCTGTGATCCACACAGTTAAAGGCTTTAGTGTAGTCAATGAAGCAGAAGTAGATGTTTTTCTGGAATTCTCTTGCTTTTTTCTATGATTCAGTGGATGTTGGCAATTTGATCTTTGGTTCCTTTGCTTTTTAGCTTGTACATCTTGGGAGTTCTTGGTTCACATACTTTTGAAGCCTTGCTTGAAAGATTTTGAGCATTACCTTGCTAGTATGTGAAATGAGTGCAATTGTGCAGTGGTTTGAACATTCTTGGGCATTGTTTTTCTTTGGAAAAACAACTGGAAAACTGACTTTTTCCAGTCCTGTGGGCACTGCTGAGTTTTCCAGATTTGCTGGCATATTGAGTGCAGCACTTTAACAGCATCATCTTTTAGGATCTGAAATAGCTTAGCTGAAATTCCATCACCTCCATAGCTTTGTTTGTAGTGAGGCTTCCTGAGGCCCTCTTGACTTCAGACACCAGGATGTCTGGCTCTAGGTGAGTGATCACACCATCATCGTTAACTGGGTCATTAAGACCTTTTTTGTACATACAAACACGGTTAAAATATTAGGACATATTTGGAAAATTTTCAAGACTCTTGATTTTTGAAAGTCTAATCGGAAGGTTCTGCATCCCTTCAGAACACTAATCATTATCACAATCACAGTTACCACCATCACTACCACCAACACTGCTTACGAACATCATAACCATCACCATGGTTATTACCTCATCAATAGCCCCATGCCACCTTTTGTGCAATCCTTGATTGAGCATGCATGTGTTACAGGCACCATTTAAGTACAGTACGTGTATTAATCAAGGTCACAGACATCCTGTGAGCAATGCAGTAGTATTAACCTAATTTACAGATGAGAAAAGTGAGGTACAGACAGGTTAATACACTTTTGGAAGGCTACATAGCTAGTAAGAGATGGCTCTGGAGAAGAGTAATGGTTCTAAATAAGGTTGAGGACTGAGAGATAGAAGGGAATATGAAATATATATGAGAACTCAACTTTTCCGACTGATTTCTAGAAGTAGTCTAGTTTCATTGCCAAATTTATTATTTTAGTAAACAAGATACAAATGTTCAGAGTGCTTCAGCTAATTGTAGTGTAGTCAAAATAGTTTTAATCTACCTATTAACAACTTAGCAATCAACTAGGTAAAAGAAAAAGCTTCTTTAAGGAAGATTCTAGGCAATGTTCAGTTCAGTTGCTCAGTTGTGTCTGACTCTTTGTGACCACATGAATCACAGCACGCCAGGCCTCCCTGTCCATCACCAACTCCCGGAGCTTACTCAAACTCATGTCCATCGAGTCGGTGATGCCATCCAGCCATCTCATCCTCTGTTGTCCCCTTCTCCTCCTGCCCCCAGTCCCTCCCAGCATCAGGGTCTTTTCCAATGAGTCAGCTCTTCGCATCAGGTGGCCAAAGTATTGGAGTTTCAGCTTCAACATCAGTCCTTCCAATGAACACCCGGGACTGATCTCCTTTAGGATGGACTGGTTGGATCTCCTTGCAGTCCAAGGGATTCTCAAGAGTCTTCTCCAACACCACAGTTCAAAAGCATCAATTCTTCTGCACTCAGCTTTCTTCACAGTCCAACTCTCACATCCATACATGACCACTGGAAAAACCACAGCCTTGACTAGATGGACCTTTGTTGGTAAAGTAATTTCTCTACTTTTTAATATGCTATCTAGGCAATGTTATCTTCCATTAATTGTAGAACAATAAGGATTCCCACAGGAATCCCAGTCACCTGGAAAGATGTATAGAAAACTTTGAGGACAGGGTAGGACCTCCGTCTTCATCCCACCTGTCCCTTACTCTTGTTTGGACTTGTTGGCATAGCGGAACAGAGCCCTGGCATGGTACACACCTGGAGACGCTGAGAGGCTTTCTGGTGAGCACTGTTACCTCCCATGAGTGTTTTACCGCCTCTGCCGTGGCCGTAGGGCGAGAACACTTGGAGGAACTGACTCTAATACAAACCTCTGTACTTTACTGCCTGGGCAGTTTGGAAAACGTTTTCAGTTTATGAGTCTGCATTTTCTCTTGCAGACCCAGAGTTCCCTGACTCACCCATAGGTGCAGTTGGGGTGGCACAGGTGACACACGTGACTGGCATCTGCAAATTTCCAGATCAGGGTGCCGTTCTCTCCCGCGACTCCAGCAGGGCAGGTCTTGACGCAGTGAGGGCCATCAATGTAGTGGGCACACTTTACACAGTTGCCTGGTCCCTGCACCGAGGCAGAAAAACCATTTCAGAAATCAAATATTTATTTATGTGTCTTTCAGAATGAAGTAACTTTTTACTTAAAATATATATCATGGAAAAAAAAAATCAAGCAATGTAGAAATTCTTCAAGTGGCTGAATTCTTCTCTGACTGTATCTTACCTGATGTGACCACTGTTAACAGGTGAGAATAAAGCCTTCCTGACTTTAAATGTGTATTGTATATGAAAACATAAAGAAACTCAACTGTGTGTTTTACTGGATTGTACTTAATACCTTGTGTGCATTTTTCCTTGTTAAAACATTGATTGGTTTACATGTGTATTTACATCCTTATCATTCAGATGGGCTTCCTTGTGAGTCATGCTTGAAGTTGAGGGGCTTCTGTGGGAAGCTGTGCTTGCCAAGGCAAAGCTAAGCAAACCACACCTGTGGTCCCCAGTGTTGAGAAGGTGGCAAGTGTAAACACAGTGGCTGCATAAATTAACTGTGCTATGCTAAATTTGGTTCTGTTTGTCAGACTTGTCAATATATTAGTGCTGCTTGGGTTGCATCCACACACTTCACAAGGGCTGAAGTAAGGTGGGTAGGGAAGGGTCTGCCTGTTGGCTAAGCACCCTTACGTCTCAAAGACTGAGTGTTCCCAGAGCGAGAACAATCTGATGACTAAGTCAACCAATATCACCAATTATTGTACTTCACTGATGAAAAGTTAACCCAACACTAACCTAAAAACCAGTGGTTTACTCTGTAACCAGCTATTTTGGCAGCTTGTACCTCAAAACCTTATCATCATCTGTCTGATTCAGAGAACTTCTGAAAAACATTTTCTGTCAGTAGATTTAGATATGACTGCTGAAGCTCAAATCCAAAGAGAGCTCCTCATACAGGTAATAGTGAGAATTAATAACATGAACACATTGGTGTGAGAGGGATCTTCATTCTCACTTACACTCTCTAAAATATTATTACTGAATGTAATGCAGATATGAAACTGAATTTTGAAAATTTTTTCTATGTGATTAAAAAAACCTCCTTCAAATAACTATGAACTAATGTGAAGTAAGAATGTGGTAACGTTTGATTAAGATGATGAAGCAATGGTGGCAGACGTCAGGAACAGTGAAGGCTGGTTGTCAGTGCCCTGTTCACAGTGCCCTGATCTGTGGTCTGAGACCAGGCGTCACCATGTGCTTCTGGGGGTTGGACAGAGAAGATGAACGCTTGAGCCAGGCAGGCCACATGCCGACGTCCCCTCAGTCACAGCCCCTGACGGCTGTGAGACGGGACGGGACGGGCTGGAGTGTGGGGAGTGGGCGGGATGGTGGTGGGTCATCCTTGCGGGTCTGCAGCTGATGCGTGGGGATAACATCACATGTGCTCCTTACGCGTCCAGTGCAGGTCACGTTCATGGCCTGGGGCAGGCATTCTGGATGGCACTGCACACACTCGGAATTCTCCACGAACTCCCTGGGCTCTCTGACAGGAGGAAGACAGGAAACTGGTCAGCGCCATCCCTACACAGCCTGCTTCCAAATGCTGTCTGGGTTCACCTGTCTGAAGGGTCAGGTGACGCCAATCACCTCTCTTAGAAAGGCAAAACAATCTTATGTAAAAGTCAAACGTCTGGGAAACTAGGACTATACTGTAATATAATAAACTGATTCTGTCAGCTGAATCTTTACTCATCTTTTCCTAGAACAAAGCAGAAGCTTCATTTATAATCAAAAGAGCCTCTCTACATTTTTCTACAGGCACAGTGTCTGAATATTAGATAAGCCAACACGTGGGAGAGGAGAAGAAAATAGTACTTAAGAGGCACCCCCTCCTATATCAGACTCATGGATATTTAAGTTAAGCTGCAAAGAAATGGTAACTAGACCACTACCTGGGAAAGGGAAAGAGAGCTATTAAAGTTTCCTTAATGGTTATTACTGAAAACAGTAAGAATGGAACACAGGTATGAAATATTTTATTGGACTATTTTAACCGTTCCTCAAAAATGGATTGATTGGGACTTCCCTGGTGGTAAAGTGGAGAGAAATCTGCCTGCCAATGAAAGGGACATGGGTTCCATCCCCATATCTGGGAAGAGTCCACATGCCACAGAGCAGCTGAGCCCATGAGTCACAACTAGTGAGCCTGCATGCTGCAACGACTGAAGTTAGTGCACCTACAGCCTGTGCTCTGCAACAAGAAAAGCCACCACAATGAAAAGCTGAGCAACACAACTAGACAGCAGTCCCTACCCTTTGCAACTGGAGAGAACCCGTGCGCAACAGTGAAGACCCGGTGCAATCAAGAATTAAATAAATAACTAACTAACTACTTGAGGAGCTGATGTGTGATTGAAAAGACATGGTAGATGTGGGCAGCTCTTAAGACTACTGGTAGTTAACTAGGCAGTGAACAAGAAGTGTTCACACCCAAAGGTATGTCCCATGTGTCCTCTCAGGCAGTCAGCATCAATGAAGCCGACCGAGCCACGTGACTTTTGCCTGTGCTTCCTCTTGGGTCATCACACCCACTACAGGGGCCAGTCTTGCACACAGAGAAGGTGCTGCCGGACACCAGGATTCTCTAACGGGAAGACCCAGGCACCACTGCCAAGGCTGTTTTAATTACCTCGCTGCTTCAAAGAGAGAAGTGTTGAAGCTGCTGGTCAGTTCTGTCCGACTCTTTGTGACCCCATGGACCGTAGCCTACCAGGCTCCTCCGTTCATGGGATTCTCCAGGCAACAATACTGGAGTGGGTAACCATTCCCTTCTCCAGGGGATCTTCCTGACCCAGGGATTGAGCCTGGGTCTCCCACACTGCAGGCAAATTCTTTACCACCTGAGCCACTGGGGAAGCCCCTTCAAAGAGAGCTGAACACTGAAAGCATGAGCTTAGCATCTGTCTGCAGCTGTAAGCATTGTGCCAATATTTCTTACTTATTGAAACAATACTATTGACTATGCAAATTACTCTGTTACGTTAATGAGCCTATAAGCTAAAGGAGTCCTGTGGAATTGAATTATCCTGCTTCTGAGTATTTCTGAGCTGAGCTGTAGTCCAAGCCCTGATAGTGAAGCAGAAAGGAAAATTTCCTAGAGGTATCTGTAACTCCTATCTTCTTCTCTACCACAAAACCTCTCTTTTTCTTTATTTTTTTTAAATTGCCTCTTCCAGTTGCTATCCTTACATTTTGTTTTCCTATTAATTTATTTTAGTCACTATTTGTGATCATTCAAAACCTTATTCAATATCAAAATTTCCACAGAATCAACAGACTGTACTTTTTATTGACTGCAATTAATTCAACAGATGTTAAACAAACTGTTTATTTCTTTGTCCATGGTTCTATTTAAAGTTATCTGCACTGTTCGGTGTGTCTTGACCATAAACAAAGATTAACCTAAGCTGTGTTTTGACACAGCAGGAATGCTATGCTACAAGGACAAGACTACTGGCCACGGTCTTGATCATCTGAACCATGGAAACAGAACAAACCGTTCTGTTTGTCTAGGGAACTTTGTGCAGCTTAGAAAGTTAAATTTCCAGATAAAGAGACTCTATAAATTGGGTTGGATTAAGTAATGAAAAATGCTTTTTCATTTCCTTTTGTGATTAGCAATTGTCAACAGGGCTTCCCTGGTGGTCGAGTGGTTGAGAGCCTGTCTTGCCATGCAGGGGATACCAGTTCGATCCCTGGTCTGGAAAGATCCCACATGCTGTGATGTAGCTCAGCCTGTGGGCCAGAACGACTGAGCCACAGCTCTGGAGCCTCTGCTCTGCAACAACAGATGCCCCCGTGAAGAGCAGCCCCTGCTTCTTGCAACCAGAGAAAGCCTGCACACAGCAAGGGAGATCCAGCACAACCGAAAACAGCTAACTAACTAAATAAAACTACACACACACACACACACACACAGCAACTGTCAACAAACAAAAAGGAAAAGAAAATAAAGGAAAATAATCAGACTGATTAACTATACACCTACAAAACCATCCTAAGTCTTATTTTTTAATTAAAGCAAAGGAATTAAAAAAAAAACAAAACAAACCTCTTACCCCTCTAGAATGTTGCACTTTTCCACACACTCCTTGCCACGACTGAAGTTCTGACAGGACAAGCAGTATTTGGGTCCAGGTCCCCAGCAGCCCTCTGATGAGCACAGCGGGTGACAGATGTGGCCTGTGGCGCCTGAGAATATAGGGTGAGTCTCATGGTCAGACAAGGAACAGTGGCCACAAACATACGCCAGGGCCCCCGGGAGAAGTGGCACAAGGGCTTCCCGAGGCCCGCCACAAATCCCCTTTGCCCTGCTGGGTGCCAAGCATACCTAGATGGAGCTCGTCAGAGCTGCAGGAGCAGAAAGCGTGAGGGTCCTTGTCATGTGTGGGTGGGGCACAGAACCAGGGAGACACCCAGAACTTCACCAATTCTTTTAATTGCACTATGGTGTGAGAATCATTATTGCCTCCATTTCATCGATGAGGAAAATAAAGCCCAAAGATTTACGTAAACTGATGAATGTCTCAAAGCTAGGAAGGGCTCAAGCTGGGATATGAACTTGGCTCTGCTTCTGCGGGTGGCCAGTATCTCAGCACAGGTGCAGGCACCACTTCAAAAGCTGACTATGGTTGTGAACTCGGATCTGGAAATGCCAGTGTAAAATGTTCAGCCCATTTCTGTATGTGTGTGTGTGTGTATGCATGTGTTTAGTCATTGGGGATGGAATGAGTAGGAAGGAACACACAGCTAAAATGCCATAATCAACACTAAATTTTGTTCTGTAAATTACCAATAACTGATGGCCTAGACTTCAAGGCAGATTTATCCTATGAGATGAGAATTATCTAGAAAAAAATCTGATGAACGTCACAACAGAATACACACATTTCCCTTAATTTGCTTCTTAGTAACGTAAAAAATAATTTAAATGTTTGAGGGTAGCCTTTCAATATTTTAAATCAAAATAAATGACCTGTTAGAACCATCTCCACAATCAACCAAAGATATTACTCACTGCACTCTTGTCGACTCCTGTTTTTTGAAATTTTGGCATTCTGAGTTGAGGTCCCCAAAAGTTTTTTCCAGCGTATTGTATCTGCATAGCACAAGTTTTGATTTCCTGAAATTATCACATCACCATCACTTATCTCCTTGAGGGAGCGTAATCCCAAGGATGTTATACTCAGGCCGACGACCGCAAGAGAAAACTGGCCACTAAGTTGAAGAGAAAAAAAAAATATTGTGAAAAATTATGACAGCATAGTATCAACAAAAACGTTTTTCTCTACCACTTTAGATTTACTACTGCCTTCCAGTTTGTAGTCATGTAAGTCATGTTATGGAAGGTCTGTACTGCAACTTTGGAAAATTGCAAGTGTTTTTAAAGTTCCTCCAGAGAAAAGTTAGTTCCTTGTTCCTTTAATATCTCTAACTCCAGTGGCAGACTAGTGGTTGAATAATTTATTAATGTCATTATTTTATTTACTGCATTTTAACTTTGCTTGGCAATTGAGAATATGTTAACCTTTCAAATATCCAAATATACTTCAAAAATCATAGATTCAGCTTTCCATCCATCCACCTACCCATCCACCCATCTATTCATCCATTTATTGAACAAATATCTGAAGTAATATGTGACTAATTTTATTCTAACTCTAGGTTAAGTGGGTGCTTCTTGCTGTCAGAAAGCCCCTTGTCTACTGATGATACAATCATTGTTAACTCAGAACCATGAGGGTGGTGATGAGGGGACCACAGAGGCAGAGGGCAGGGGCACCTAAACAAGTTTGAGCAAGGGTCTCTGGAAGAGGTGATGCCTGAGCATCAGGACCTCCAGAGCAGGAACTGATATTTTCTTCACTACCCAACCCTGTGCTAGGTTCCTACGAGGTGACCAGGACGTGTTCATCACATGGCCAGATGGACAGTATTCCGACTGAAGGGAAGGAAGCCTTCCACCCAGAGGAGCACGTGACAGGCACTGAGACTCACGTGCTGCTGCTGGAGCAGAAATGTAGGACAGGGGTCTGCGAGGGGAGAAAGAGGCCGGAGCCTGGACCACTTTGGGCACCGCGTGGAGGAGGCTCTTGTTTGCAGTGATGGGAAGCCACAGGAAGGAGGTGTGCGTTGTGAGGAAGCTCACTAAACACCAAGGCGGGAAACAGACCAGCTGAGACAGCACTGGATAGAGAGGCTGATGATGAAGGCACGAGATGACAAAATGTAACTCCTCTTTCTCCTTGTTTCTCTTTCTCTGCCCACTCTTTCTTCCCTGTGTCCCTCCACAGTCTGACTTCTGTGGGTGCACAGTCTGCACCCCTGCTTTTAGGAACCCCTTCCTCTAGCCATATGCTCAGGGGAGCCACGCCAGTGGGGACAAAGCTGAGGTCCTCCCTGCAGGGAGGTCTGGCAGGGGTCACACTTCCCCAGGAGGAACTGTGTATCATTGGACTGCTCAGCAAATGTTATAAATTAAAAAAAAAAAAAGTCAGCTTTATGTTTAAAACCCTAAAACTAAGCTGAGAGGTACATGCTAGTCACCCAAGAAAACTGACTTAAGTCTCTCGTCTCCGTATGAACTTTGGTCACAAGAAGTATTCCTGAGAACTCAGGGCACAGGGCCTTTCTGGCAAGTGATATTAGCTGCATGTTTAGCATCAGAGATGCAAAGCTGGAATGGCTTTTGGAAAGGGATGCTTATTTTACACGCACTGTATTCTGATTTTCTTTAATACTGCACAATATTATGTAGCTCTCTCAGGTGTCAATTATGGGGAACAGTTCTCAAAACCAGATGATTTCCAAGGCAGGTTTGAACAAGAGAGTCCCAAACTTTGCCTCACCACAAAATTCATTATTACCCTTATTATGTTAAAGATGCTTGTGTGTGTGTGTGCATGCGTGCATGTGTATGTGTGTGTGCATGCATGTGTGTGTGTGTGCTGGAGCTGGAAAAGTGGAAATCTTGAAAGACACGCTCAGTGCCTCTCAGGTCCCCTGAAATGAGGTGCTGATGAGGACTGGTGACCTTAGTGCTATTCTTGCCCAAAGTACAAAACCTCAACCAAATCAGGAGAAAACACTGGCCATCCTACAAATGCCTGACCAGTACTTTTCAAAAGCCATGAAAGACAAGGAAGACAGAGGAACTATCATGGACAGCAGGGGACTAAGGAGACATGACTGTCCCTTGCAGTGTGGGCTGACCAGAACAGAAAAAGTGTTCGTGGAAAACTGGCGAGATCCGAGAAAGTTTGCAGTTCAGTTACAGCCATGCTGATGATGCAGGGTGTCACCATCGAGGGAGCCAGGTGAGGGTGTGTGGGGACTCTCTGTAGTGTCTCTGCATCACTTCAGTAGCTTTCACTTCAAAAGAAAAGACTCTACAAGTCTTTGGCTGGGGTCCACTTACTGCTGCTTCGTTCTGCCACGTATGATTTCCAGGTTCTCAAAAGCATCGAGGTCAGTCCTGTTTTCGGGCCAGGCCTGAATCAGCAAAAACCCTATAAAGCAGAAGGAAAGTTCAGACACATACCACTTAGAAATTTCTGTTTTGTATGAGACATTATTTGGAGAAGGAAATGGCAACCCATTCCAGTATTCTTGCCTGGAAAATCCCATGGACGGAGGACCCTGGCAGGCTACAGTCCATGGGGTCACAAAGAGTCAGATACAACTGAGCAGCTAACACACTTAATGGTACACACCTGTAATTTCTTTTACAGTTTTTAGAATGTCCAGCTCTTTCGGGTCCAGAGGAGCAGTATGTGTGAAGGAGTCACTGAAACAAGTAACAGAGCCGTCAGTAACAACCTGCCGTGAACAGAGCAGAGCCTGTTTTTCTGTGGGATACCAGTAACTTGATCTTTACTTACCCCTTAAATGCTACTGGCAGGATATGAAGATCTCCACTGATGGATGTGCAGTTTCTGTAGTGTTTAATGTTTGTAGCATTTATGGAAAGTGTGCCTTTAAACTCACCGATTCCTATTCCGTTACAAACTGTAAAGAGAGGTGTTTATTCCATTCACAAGTGCTGAATCAGTAACAGCTGTGGTTCCTCAGGCTCCCTGCTTCCTCAGGGAGCAGGGAGAGAAGTGCAGCCGAAGGAGCGGTCGCTGCCACGCTATCCTTCACCCACGCAGCAAACACTGCAGGCTCGCCCTGGACCAGGGGCCAGAGCGGGGTGTGGGGTCACAGTACAGGAGATGCCATGCCTGTCCTCACTGAACTTGCCTTCTCCTCCTCAACTTTCCCCACCTGGGCCACAGTCCAGCTGCCTCTGAGGACTCCAGCTCCTCCTACACGACAGCTGCCCCCTGGGCTGTTGGTACTGCACGGGGATCACACGCGTGCCCCCACTAAACCCTCAATGCCTTCCCTTGCCCTCATCTGGGCTGCGGTTTAGTTTTCTAATGGAAAGAAACAGTATGCATAAGTTTTTTAACTAAAAGAGCAAGATGCATCCATGGAAGAAAACCTTGAAAACACGGAACAAAGAGGAACAAAATGACTAGAAATGCTATTGTGTAACTTTGATATTTGAGAAAATTTCCTTCCCGTTATCCTCCATGGTTATGTCACACCACATATGTAGTTGTTTTTTTTTGTTGTTGTTCTGTTTTCACTTAGTATGCTGCGAACATTGTCCTATCAGTAAAACCATTCACAAGCATGGCATCACCGATGCGATGGACATGAGATTGAGTAGGCTCTGGAGTTGGTGATGGAGAGGGAGGCCTGGTGAGCTGTAGTCTATGGGGTCCCAGAGAGTTGGACAAGACTGAGCGACTGAACTGAAATGAACTGAACTGATATCATAAAGAATACTATAATAAGTCTTATCAGAAAAACTGCTTTTCTTCCACAGGGCCTACTTAAGCCACATGCTTTGATCTCTGTCCTACTGTGACATCAGTCTCAGATGCCTTTTTCTGCACTCTGAGCTCATTTATTAATTTATATCCACTCCCTAATTTCTATCTTAAATGTCATCTCCCTCTGAAGCCCATTTATCTGTTGTGGCTCTACTTCTAGAATCCACAGTGCAATTTTTGGTATCTCTCTTTCAGACTTTATCTTACTTTGAAGAATAATCATGGAAGATCTTATTGTTCAGGGTGAGGTCCCTTCCCCTTCTCCAGGCCTCACCAGGGACATGGTTGCCCTGTTTCTCCATCTCCTTCTTCTCCATTCTGTCTGGAGTCCTCACTGCTTGGGCTGCCACCTGGCCATGGGGCCCATCCCACCAGCCCCATGGAGCCCCAGGCTTGCCCTGGAATGCATATACCTCGCTGTGGGTCTGGGAACGGGGTGGCGAGGCTTGCTTAGGATTCCAAGGCTCTGGCTGGCAACAGAATGAGGGGGCTTCAGCAAAACAAGCCCTGAGGCAGATGCCTGCTAATGGGAACTTGCCTTTTAATTACAGGTTTGGAAGAGAATTCTACATGTTTGAGAGAATATTCATTCTCTCTCCGCTTAGGCGTGATGGTGATGGTGGGGTTACCTTAATTTCTAAATGTGGAGACAAACTGTAATTCACCTCTAGATCTAGCAGATCTGGAGGAGTTGTGGACCATCAACACACATGTTCACACCTTTGTTTCCCAGCATCGCCCTACACAAAGGGACCTCAGTTGGCCATACTCCAGGATTTGAACTGCGGGTGGGTAGAAAATAGAGCATAATGATTATAGGTGAGTCAAAATGTTTTCTGAGCACAAAATTAACAGACCAAAATCAGAAATAATCTCTGCTTTTATTGATCCATTTGAGGATGCTGATAGTAACCCTCTCTCTTCAGTGGCTGAACTCTCTTCCTTCCTCTCCAGGCACCACTTTATGCCTTATTTTCTTCCTTGCATGTTTCCTCTGCCTGAAGATTTCCTGGAGCCAAAGGATATCCATTTCTCAGGGCACTGACCTGCCTGCCACACTGGGAGCTCATGGGTCTGACCTCAGACTGAAGCCCTGTGAGCTGTCCCAGCTTGTCTCTGCCAATCCTGGGCATTGGTCCCTTGGCAAGGCATTTAGATCCTCTGTGATATAGTGCCTCACCTGTAAGGGGGATCGTAATGGCACAGACCTCCTAACGGGGCTGAGGGACTGGATGACGTGGAGCGGGGAGGCTCAGTCTGCTTCTGAAAGAATGCATGGGGCAGTGGTCAGTGTCAGCTGAAACCACAGACACTTCTTAGGACGGTGGCATCTGAAGCAGATGTTCAAGTAAGCTGAATTGAAGCTTTTTTTATAGCAGTAAAATAGTGGAAACTAATGACCATATAGGTCATGGCAGAGGGACTGTGGACAGGGTTAGGGGCGTGCCCAGCAGCTGCAAAGCAGAATAAGGAAGATTCACATGATGTTATCTGCAGTGATCTCCAGGGGATGCTTAGAGTGTAGATGTGTCTTCTGTGCAAGTGGAAGACATGTTCTGGGCCTGCCACGCACCCAAAGGACCTGGGTGCCAGCTGGGGAGGCTCCCATGGGCCACATGGGAGATAGTCTGGACATCAGAGTGAATAATGTGAGAAGGGATTATCATAAACTGAATAAAAAAGGGTTCAGTGAGCTCACATGGGTACTAACAAAGCTACTTTGGAAACAGAATTGTCAACTAGTAAATGTAGAAGAAATGACAGAAATAGGAAGTCATTCTTACAACCACCAAGAAATCTGACTGATGCAACTTCAGGCGAATCATCAGTTCTTCCATTGAGGTGGTTTAATCACTCAGTCATGCCCAACTCTTTGCAACCCCATGGACTGTACCCCTCCAGGCTCCCCTGTCCATGGAATTCTCCAGGCAAGAATCCTGGAGTGGGTTACCATTTCCTTCACCAAGGAATCTTCCTGACCCAGGGATCAAATCCAGGTCTCATGCGTTGCAGGCAGATTCTTTACCACTGAGCCAGAGAAGCCACAGAGGTAATGAGATGAGAGCTGTGTCCCCCTGGTGGGACACTCTCTACCTGCAGTGCTCCATCTGCATCCCGCCCCATGGAAAACATGATCTGACCAGACAGGGGCGGTCGGAGCAGCTGGCCTTGGCTCCTCACAACATCAGAGGAAAGAGGACTGAGAAACGATCTTGAATTAATGAAGAGCCTGGACTTTCGATTGAAAAGCGGCTAAAAAGGATATATTGGGACAACAGGGGAGTTGAAATTAAACTGAAAACTAGAATCAACGTTAAACATGCGATAAGAGTGAAATTGTCTTTTGTTACTTAGGAGAATATGTCCTGTTTGTACAAAAGTGTGTTGGTGAATGCAGGGTGAAGTGTTATAATACCTGTAGTCCTCACAGGACTCAGAAAACACACAGAGAGACACAAATGCAGAGAACAATGTGGTGGTTACTGAAAATTGATGAATTCAAGTGCAGGGCATATGGGTGTTCATTACACTATTTTGCAATGCTTCTGGGTGTTTGAAAAATGTCAAGATAAAAGATAAAGTGCAGGAAAAGAAGGGATAAATTGGCATTGAGGACACCCCAGGGATAGAGCACAGCAGAAAGGAAGGGACATGTTTCTGAGCTTGGAGACTCCCTCAAATCTGGTCTGAGGATGATGCTGGCAGTCTGGGGGCAGGGAGCCCAGCCATGACTGGAAGCAGAGAGGGCCCCGTGCCCACACCGGGCAGCTTCCCACCTTTGCCACAAGGCCCGTCACACTTTTTACACTTGCGGACACCGTCCTCTTCTACCTCCTGGCTGTCAGAACTGCAGGCGCGGACGCATGAGCCGTGGTCTGTCACCACATAGTTACCTGGGGGACAATGAAAGGAAGGTGGTGAAAGCAGCACCAGGTGTTCTGGGCATAATGACCCTTGATGACGGGTGATTCTCTGGTTCTGTTTACTTCAAGGACAAGAAGGAAAGGCTGTAAACAGAGAGGTGTGGGGTTCAAGGTGTTCACGGCCTCCCTATCAGGCTGCTGCTCGCTGGTGACGATGCTTACATTCAGGACTCACAGCTGAAAGTTTAACACGTATTTTAAAAAGTCACCCGAAACAAAGACCACACTTCTCTTGGCCACCCTCATCCCCTCGGGCCTCTGCGGGTGACTGGGTACACACCCTGCCTTGGCCGTCACTCAGGAAGAAGTAACTTGTGTTCATAATCAACTTTTGAGGAACTCTCTGTTTCTTTTGACTTCCCCAAGTGGATCCTCGAACCACTGGACGTTTGTCTGGACGTTCACTGGATATTTGTCACTTTCCTTCTATAAATTGTCTGCTTTTGTTCTCTGAGGCTCTGAGTGGTTTCCTGTGGATTTCACATTGCCTCAAAGATTATATCTGTGTCATAATTGTGACAAAGTTTTATCTTGTCATTTACCACAATGCCTTATCTGTGGGTTTTTTTGTTGCTGCTGTTCCAAATTTTAAAAATTTCATGTTCACAAGTCTGGTAGCGTAAATCTCACCTTCATAGTTGTTCTTAAAAAAAATTTTTTTTTTTTTTTTTAGTTAATCTTCCCTCTTGAAAATCACTTCCTCTACTATGAAATCACTAATGTTGCCATTTCCCTAAATACTAGGGTCTCCTGTAAAGCACAAATAAGCAAAACCCAAGCCCCAACAATTAAACAAAGCCAATCGACAAGCAAAAGACTCTCTTCTGTGCTCCCAACGGCACAAACATGCCCGGGTTTTTAACCACTAAAGAAGGCCGGTCTTCCAACCTCTCTCTCATTTAGGCCTTATAAACACCTGCCGAGTATAAGCGCCAAACAGGGAAATGGCCCACCGGCCCTGGGTTTGTGCCAATCAGACCATGGAATGTTCTGGGCAACCGTGCCTGGGCTCAGGACAAAAGAGGCAACTGGGGGTCAGAGCGGCAGTCATCACCTCACCTGCCCGGTACGGAAGAGACTACAGGGACCTTGGGTCTCACTCCTTGGAGTGAGACAACGGGGACCTCCGCAGGACACAGAGCGGAAACAGGTGCCTGGCAATGAAGGGGCTCACGAGGGACACTCACGGGGACACTTCTTGACACAGGTGGCGCCAAAGCTGTACTTCCCCAGCGGGTTGACCTTCATCTCGTAGGTGGTAGGGTCATAGAGCATGAGTGGCGGACACGTGTCCTTGCAGGTGGCTTCATCACGGAACCTGCGGCAGACCTGCCATGGGAGGGGTGGTGTGATTGCTGGGCTCCATGGAGAGCGGGGCCACAGCCCTCTGTGTCCAGGTGTTCGGTCGGAGCAGACATCTAGTAAAGCACTCTCAACAGGGGCAGAAAGACTGTTCTCTTAAAAGCATGTTTTTTCTTAAATACACTGCTCAAGCCGTGATGGTTTATGGATTATGAGGAGGGAAAAACACATCTCTGTTAACTTTCAAAATAAGGCAGGAGTTCACACGCTAGAGTAGTGACTCTAGAGTGAAATTATTCAACTTAACTTACATCCGATTTCCCTCCTAAACAACATTTGAGGATACACTTTTGAATGTATTACCAAACACAGAGAACTTTGGCTGGGGGCTGTTGTGCAGAGGGAATCAGACCACACGCAGAGGGGCCCTGACCAAGAGCCTGGTATTGCCTCCCTCCAGCAGCCTGGCAGAAGTGGCTCAGACCAGTGGGATCCAAAGCCCAGGGCCCCTCCAGCCTCCGGAACATTAGTTTCCCAGGTTCCTAGAAACCATAGGCTCTTTGGTGACACTAGAACTTGGTCAAGCTTTCCGCAGTAACAGCGACTACAGCGAGGGCTTCAGCACCCTCACGGGGTGGGGAAGCAGCAGGAAGCATCTCAGCCAAGTAGAAAGAGCAGAGGCTTTAGAGGCAAAAGATACAAATGGAGTCCAGCTGTCCTGCCGCTGAGGATCTGTGTGACTGCCTAACTTCACTGGGTACATTTTAGGGGTCCCTGCAGCCTCAGCTCTCTAGGTTGTAATGAGAATTGAGGGAACAATAAATGGTGGTGACACTGGTGCTGGTCACAACAGACATGAGGGACAAATAACACACAGCTAGTATTTGGCTCTGGAAAAGGCAATGGCACCCCACTCCAGTCCTCTTGCCTGGAAAATCCCATGGGCGGAGGAGCCTGGTGGGCTGCAGTCCATGGGGTCGCAAAGAGTCGGACACGACTGAGCGACTTCACTTTCACTTTTCACTTTCGAGCATTGGAGAAGGAAATGGCAACCCACTCCAGTGTTCTTGCCTGGAGAATGCCAGGGACGGGGGAGCCTGGTGGGCTGCCGTCTATGGGGTCGCACAGAGTTGGACACGACTGAAGCGACTTAGCAGCAGCAGCAGCAGCATTTGGCTCATTTTATGCCCTGGTCTCAGGTGTGGATGTCACATACATTGTGCCCTTTAGACCATGGAACAGTAGGTGAGGTCACATAATTTACCCAAGGTCACCAGCTAGGTGGTGAAGGCCGGTCACTGAAAGATGCCTTGTTACCTGGCGGCCGCAAACAGCAGCCAGCACATTTCAGTCAAAGGGAGGCCCCTGAACTTCGGGCCACAGAAGCTGAGGTGTGTCTTACCAGGCAGTCACTCTCCCGTGGCCCCGTGCAGCCAGCGGCGCACTGGTTGTGACAGCAGTCGCTGGGGGACCTGCCACGGCAGCGCCCGGAACACTGCTGGGCACAGATGATTTTGGTCACTGAAAGGAAGCAAAGGCCATCGTGAGCTGCAGGGTCAGGAAGGTGGAAGGATCACTTCCCAGGGACCCTGCAGAGCACTTGCAAACGGTGATCAAAGACTGATAACAAGGATGAATTTAGTGATTCTACACTGAAATTCCCAAACATTCATGTTCTGCTAAACTCAACTATCTTGATCTTTCTTACTGTATGTTTTCTTTTTTCTACTTGTTTCTAATCACTTAGGAGAACTGACTCAGATTAACTCTGGACTTTTAGACTTGTTAAATTAGAAACTGACAAGAATTGAGTTTTGGGGTAATAGAAAGTATGCACAAATAACATAATGCCTGCCAGAAAGCAGTGTTTAAAAGGGCATAACAATCACATCACCATTTGACTTAAGGACAGATAAAGCTGACATGTCCTTAGATTTCCTGGCCATTCATGGTCTTAAGCTAGGATTCCCGCAGAAAAATCTCCTTCAAGAAGCTGCTCTTGCTTCTCTGGAGGTAGGTAGGTACCCAAAAGAGGGGCAGGAAGGGAGAAGACACAAGAGGTGTGATGCAAGAAACACAGACAAGCCTCCGTTTCCAGGAAAACCAAACCTAGTGTTCAGAGAGAATGACTGCTGCCTGGGTGGCAGGCCTGCACTGATTCACACCAGGCTGGAGTGCCAGCACTAGCCCATGCAGGGAGATGTGCAAGACTGTCATTCATATAACGGCTAACATCTGGCCTTAAAAATCAACAATGCTTGGAGTCTTCAAAGGGAAAACAAATATCAATACCATCAGCCAAGTGTAAGGGGAGAAGGTGGCCAGTGAAATTCTGTTCCTGACTCACATTTCTGGCAGTTCTCCTTCCCAGCACCCCAGCAGCTTCCATTGAGACAGACTGGATCACACTTCGGGCCTAAAATATAAAAGTAATAGTTAAGTTCATATCACAGGGAAAGGGAACAAGAAACTGATAGCACCTGCCCAAGCCTCTTAGCAGAGCTATAGCCAGAAACAAGAGCTTTCTAATTCCTTATTCTCTGCTTCTTCAACTGGTTGGTTTGTAAGATGATTTAAAAAGACTCTCGTGAGGAAAAAATCCAAGGGGCTTAATATATGTCCCAAAGTCTCCTACAGTCAGGGGAATTCAGTCTCTGGGAGAATTTCAGTTTTAAATGGAAGAGATGATTTGCCAAGTGATTGTGGGACGAGGGCACCCCTTCAGTATGACCAGCAAGGTTTATAGTTGATCCCAGGGGTGAAAGGCACTAGTGCAATGCTGGTGCTTCTCAAAATCCTGAAAGATGGGAAGCTGAGCCCCACACGGATGGTGTCAGTCATACATTGGGAGAAGAGACACACAGACAGACAGACAGAAAGAGAGAAATCTAAGAGGAAAGAGCAAAAGTAACAGGTAGGTATGTTCAGTGTGGTTATGTCTACAGTACAGATACCACATTACCTTTCCTTTTTACCCTATATGTCACCATATTTTCAAATTTCTATTATAAGCATATAAGTTTATAAAAGAAAATATTTAAAATAAAAATGTTTAATGGCATCTTTCCATAACACAGGAAATATTTACCAATTAAGGAATTCAAAGTCTGTTTATGATTATAAACTTCTGCGGCAAAAAAAGAATCATAGACATTATTTAAAATATGAGTAACAGAAAAAAGGAAAAAGAATTGAGGATCATCCAGAGGTAATCAATATAGGCGTAAGTATAGCTATATATAAGAATTAATATCACACTACACATTGCACTATAACTTAATTGATAATACATTATGACAATTTTCCATGCCTTTAAATATCCTTCTACCTACCTAACATGCATTTTTAATGGCATGGCTGTACCACAATTTATTGAACCAATCTCTTATTTTTAGACCTAAGTTGCTTTTTAAACACAAGGATATAAGGAATATGCTTGAACAAAAATATTTTTCTGCATCCCTTACAATTTTCATTCCTCTCATTTTTTCCTTAACATTCTTAGACATGATGTTCATAGGCCAGAGGCATGCATACTTTAAAACTTCAATACATATTGCGAAAATTATATGCCCACAAGTAGACTATGCAAATTTCTGTTTCTTTGCCAATATAGGTATTGAAAAATCAAAAGGAACATATGTCTTTAGCAAAGGCAAAAATGATGCTTCTTTATTTTATTTTAACCATTGTAATACAGGGACAAATAATATTTTACTTTATTTTTGGCTGTGTGTGTGTGTGTGTGTGGTGGGGACAGGGGAGCTGCTCATGTCCTTGACCCATTTTTGGAGAGGTGGTCACATTTTTCTTAGGATTTAGAAGACTACATTACATAGTAACATAGCAAGAATATTAACCTTTTCAAGGCAATTAGATGCTGCGCAGTATTTTCCTGTCAATAATGTTTTTTTTATATGGAAGTTTTCTTTTATAGTATCTAACTTTGGCTTTCCTTGAACTTGATATTATAAATATTTATTTTACGTTTCTTTCTAGCACTTACATATATACTCAACATTTTTTATGTTTAACATGCATTTGGAATTTACAATGGTATATGAAGTGGATTATAGATTTATTTCAATTTCCTCTTGAGTAAACCTACCCATTCTAACTTCAAATTCCAAACTACATCAATAATAACATAATATTAAGTAACTTCTCTGTCCATAAAACACTTAAATCATCTTATGAGATTTTTTGGGTAAAGATGAAATGAAACAAGATCTCAGAAGTCATTTGTGACCTGAAAGCGCCAGTTGAGAGGAGCAAGATTCTGAATTTGTCCCTGGTCAGGTAACTAATGAGGAAAATACAGGTCATAGGTGAAGGGTGATTTTGTAATTTCCAATGTGACTAACCTAATATCCTTAGTTCCTTTAAAAAAAAACCATTAATAGTTCTGTCACTTAGATATTTTTCCTTTAGTAGTTACATCCAGAATAAAATATTAAATAATTAATTCTTTTCTTATTTGCTTACAATGTCATTTCTTTATGGACATTTGATTCAGCTAGGCTGTCTTATTTATCTATGGCTTATTTTTATATGTCTACTCTTAAACCAACACCACCTTGGTTTATTGCTCACAGCTTTGTAATATTTGAATCTTATTATTGCATAAACCTGTTCACCATTTGTCTTTCCCAACATTGTCTTGCCAGGTCATTTCTGCAGCTATGGTGTGAAGAGGGCAGGTGAGCTATTTTGGGTACCTGATTTGATCTATAGCAAACCCATATTAGGCTCACAGCCTTTCCATGTCAGTTTTTGTTGTTGTTGTTGTTACAAATGTACACAATTTAACCTCCCCACTGTTCATCAGATTGCTGAGCAAAGGTTAACCTCCATCTCTGGAAAATGTAAAATTTTACACTGTAAAAGAAAGCTTTTGCTTTCTTGCAAGCAAAGTAGGTCAGGTGGGTATCTGTTGGAATAATGCATTTACAAAATCAAAGGGCTCAGTGCCCATGTTCACAGCAGCATTTTGTCCATAATTGTCAAAAGGTGGAAGCAACTCAAGCAATTCAAGTGCTCATTGACAGATGAATGTATAAACAAATGAAATATTCTTCAGCCATATTAAGGAAGGAAGACCATTCTGACACATGATCTAATTTGGATGGCTCTTGAAGACACTGCTCAGTGAAAGAAGTCAGTCACCAAAGTACAAATTTGTCAAATTTGTCACAAAAGGACAAAAGGATTTCACTTATATAAGGCACCTAAAGTTGTCTAATTCATAGGCTGAAAGTAAGATGATAGATGCAAGGCCTGGGGGTGGAGAGTTAGTGGTCAGCAGGGACAGTTTTAGTTTAGCAAGAGGAAAATACATGATTGGTGGTGATGGCTGCACAATGATGTGAATGTACTTAATGCTACTGAACTGTACACTTAAACACGGTTAAGATGGTAAACTTTATCTTAAACATGTTTCATTATAATTAATCAAATCAAAGGAGAAAAAGCAAAAATCAAAGAAGCTTTAGTTGATTTTTAAGATCCATATCAGCTTCAAATTCTAAGACCAAAAACACCAAAAAGAAAAAAAAAGCACCCACGCATCCACTGCACAGTTGTAGGAAAACAGAGAAGCAGGAAACGGTGATGGCTTCTTATTTTAAAGGCCTGAAAGGTGAGGGAGATCAGAAAGGGAGCAGACTACTTGGAAACTGGGGTCTTCAAAGTTTCCCACGAGGTACGTCAAGGGTGCTAACGGGGGGCCTTGACCTGCACCGTGGTCCTGGCTAGCTGCTACCTTGCATGGGTTGCTTTTTTGATGAATAGTGGGGACTAGGTCATGGGCACTAGTTAAATATGGACAAGCTTACCCCTATGTGCTCCTTAGTTCTGCTGGGCACTCCATCCGTGTGGGAGTGCCCAGGACCTATGAGCAGGAGGGCAGAGTTGAGCCCCAAAGCTTCCACAGGGCCTGGTGCCGCTTTGAGCCTCAGCAGAAAATCGGAAGCTACAAAAGCCTGATTAGTTTCCTCAAACAGGATGAGAGAAGCCCCTTGCCAGGGCTGGCACGATGGGCTTTTCTCAATGCCACATGAGAGCTCAGCTGCCCTGGCGGGGGTGGGGGTGTGTGTGTGTGTGACCTGTCAGCAAGTGAGCTGTCACCATTAAAAAACAGACCTATTCCTCTGTCTTAAATAGGTGCTCTTCTAGTGAGCATATAATCTGTTTACTACTTATTTTCGCTGTAGATTCATGTAACTTAACATGAACTCTGCCTTCTCTGGCTCGCACCCCAACTCCACAGCTCCGCCCTGTCTTATGAACTGCAATCCCGGGGTGGGGGTCGGGGGGAGCACTGTGGAACACTTACAGTTGCTCAGCTGGTTCTGAAAGTCCCCTGTCATGTTGCTTAGAAAGTCAGGGTTGACGATGTCCCGCCACTGGATGGTCTCCACGTTGCAGAGGACAGGGTTGTTGCTGAATCGCACGGCACCTTGCAGAATTTCTGCACGAGAAAGGAACCCCCATGAGCAAACTTGCCATCTCTTCTAAACTCTTGTGAAGTATGCATATGCTTCTTCACATTTTGCCTTCAGTTCAGAGATGGCAGCATGCAAATGAGACTCCCTGGAACTGCAGTGGGGCAGTGGAAAGTGAGCTGATGGATTCCTCTATGGAGGAGTTGGGATTCCTCTGCATTGGGTCTTTCAACAATGAATGACCAGAATTTAGAAATCTGGGGCCATGGGAAGATAACGCTTTGGTCATGTAGCATGAATGACAGTTATACAGTAAGTCGGTGGTCCCCAGGGAGGCTGGCTGGCCCTAGCTGGACCAGAGTGACTGTGTGATGACAATGTGAAAGGGCAGATGGGACAGGAAGGGTGGGTGGAAGGGAAGATGCTCTGAGGAGCTTGGGGAAGCGGGCAAAGTGGAGCAGGAAGGATCTGTATGTGTGATGAAGAGACTGGATGGCCAAGAGAAGGCAAAGACATAAAACTGTTCAACTGCTCAAAGGAAGAGCTGGAACGACATGAAACACCAGGGGCGATAAGAAAACTTGAGCAGGAGCAGAGGGCAAGTATTCCCCCATGACACTTATGCAAACATTTACTGAATGACTCCTGTGCACAGAACAGCAGCGAGTGCTGTGAGGTATGCGCAGATGAGTAATTCTTGCTGAGAGGAGTAATTCTCCTCTCTAAGAAGTGACAAGCATGTGGGGGGCAACGCACAGTCAATACCCTCCTGTTCGCAGAGGGCCATGACCCATGAGGAGGCTGGCACTGTGCCAACTGGTTTACATGCATGCATGCTTAGTCACTCAGTCGTATCTGACTCTGCAACCCCATGGGTTGTAGCCTGTTAGGTTCCTCTGTGCATGGAATTCTCCAGGCAAGAATACTGGAGTGGGTTGCCATTTCCTCCTCCAGGGGATCTTCCTGACCCAGGGATCAAACCTGCTTCTGTTGAATCTCTTTACCACTGTACCACCTAGTAGTCAGACATAAGCATGGCCTGAGCTATTCCCCACGTGGTCCTTTGACTGTAACTCAATTCTAGATATGTAAGTAATGCCAAGTATCCCAGAGTGCGAGAGGACACAGAAAAGGAAGAGTTTTTCTGGGGAAGCTCTCTTTGACTGTTGGAAGGAATGACATTTCTGGGAAGAGAACATGTGGAAGAACCCAGATGGAAGTGGGCTCTGCGGGTTCCAGGCGGACAGACAGCCCCAGCAGAAGCCGTGAGGGGCCAGGTAAGCAGTTCCTTCAGCAGATGGCGGGGAGGGTCTGCAGAGTCACAGACGGCAGGCTGGGGGTCGGAAAGGGTCGCATCTTGGAGTTTTGGGTGTGAAATCAGAGATGACAGCTGGACAACCAAGTGAAAAGCTTCACTCAGGAGGGAGCCAGGGGCAAGGGATAAACTCATGAGAGGCCAGAGCTGGAGACACAGGAGAGCTGGGGCTGCAGGAGCCTCAGGAAGACAGACCAGAACGGGAAGAACAAGGGGACAGCAGCAGATGACCAGAGGCCCGTGTTAGTTATCAACCGTTGTTGTTTAGTCACTAAGTCATACCTGCCACTTTTGCGACCGCATGGACTGTAGCCTGTCAGGCTCCTCTGTCCATGCGATTCTCCAGGCAAGAATACTGGAGTGGGTTGCCATTTCCTTCTCCAATAACAGCATGTAATTCATGTCGAACAATCCAAATTAGAGGATTATTTAATAAAATTAAATAATCTGAATTGATACAACCCCAATACTCACAACCGAAATAATACCAAGCACAGAAACAGCTCCCTGGGGCTTTATCTGCAGTAATTCACTTAATCTCCTCAACAACCCTGGGAAGTCTGTGACCACTGCCCCCGCAGCAGGCGCGGGAGGCTGAGGGGAGCCCTGAGGCCATTCCATGAACGCCGAGCCCAGGGGCTGACCCGGACGCAGGCTTCATGGCGCTCGGACAGTCAGCCCGCCCTGCAGCTCAGCCTGGGGTCAGGCCCCCTACCGCGAACTCCTCTGCTGTTGCCTCTGCTCCCATCCCCCTTGAGGGTTGGCCCCAGTGCCCATCAGAGCCGCAAGCCACGGGGGAAGGTTAGGGCTCTGCCGCACGGTCTGGGCGGCCAACGCTGGCCATTTCCTCACTCCTGTGGGAATTCAAGAGGGTTACTTTGACCATTTTTTTTTTTTTTTTTTTTTTTGGTAAAATGGCAGAGCAAACCACTTGCTCTGAAAGAAGGTTAGGGGCATTAAATTAAGTTAACAATTTAACATGGCTGGCACTGTACCTGCCACAATTGTTATCTTTAAATTTTAAAAATCAACTTGCCATTTTTCCTTTATCTTCCACCATTTCCTCTCACAGGACCCTCATAAGTGCCCTCCTCACAAGAATTCAAACTTCACCTGTAATACCTTTATTCCCTATCCTTACAAACTTAAAAATGGCTTTCTGTATAATAGCATTACTCTGGAAAACGTCTCAGACAGCAGTTGGGTTTTTACTCTTGGTGCCTTATACACGAGGTCCAGGCAGTAAGACTGGCGGACTACCTGAGCATTCCAGTTCTGTCATCCGATCATAGTCTCGTTTTTCCAGAACATTTACCATGTCTTACTAACTCTCTGGATACTTTTCCATGAACAAGGCAGAACCTGTACTTGGCTTAACTCTTCCCTTCCTGCCTCATCAACTACTGTCTTCTTAGAACTTCCACTCACTCTATCTTGCATATGGCTGGCATGCAGTACATCTGTGTGTCATGAATAAATGTCTTCCCTGAGTGGAATTCAGAAAAGCACCCAGTCTTTTGAGTACCGTCCAAGTCACTCTTCATATCACAGCCTCCCGTTCCTGCTCTCACCCTGTAAGTTTCTCAAGGGCAGCTCCCTCAGTCCGGTTTTGTTTGCTCCATAGTTGGATAAGACCGCTAAGGCATGGGTGTTTTCATAAAGCACATTTCCTCGGATGATCTGCAGGTTTTCCAGCGGAATCTTCTCCACTGTGTTGAGGGCAATGAGTACATAGCCAGCAACCTCCTGGATGGTCTAAGGAAACAAAACATGAATGTGTTATTTCTCTTTGGAGGAACTCATGAATGCAAGATCTAAAGTGGGTCCAGAGAGCCCAGGACACCTAGCTGAGCAGGAGTGGTTGACGAATCATGTAGATGATTAACACTGGACCCCATGGGAGGTAACAAGATTTATAGTGGTTCCTGCATTTTTGCCTCTTGAGCTTGACAACAGTAACAATGGACCATGTGCATTACTGAGGAATGCTGTGACTTTCATTTTGCCTGGTGTTTATCAGACTCAGCAGAAAATGGAAATGTTTTATTAATTTATTTTGTATTTGTCTTGCAGGCTTTCCATCAAAAACAAACAAACAAACCCAGAAGAAAACCCATCAAATCCTAAGTTTACACCAAACTCAGAAGCTTTTAAGGCTGGCTCCTATTGGCTCACTGGAGCCTACTGCAAAACATATGGAGTTTTGTGAACTAGTTTTTAAACTCTTGGTAGCCAGAAATCAACTGTAGTGGTTGATTATACCAAGAAGACAGGCAAGGGCTACAAAGCAGGTATTCTTTTTTTTTTTTCAAACACAGCCAGTATAGCAGGATACCATGGCTGCAGTGCTGATTAAAAGATTAGTGTCCACAATGATAGCAGAATGCCAGGCTAGTCTGTTTCTCTTTGCTATTCTTTTATAGCTACAACTTGACACTATCTGGTAAAGTGACCTTTTCATAAAACTTGCATGCATAATTTCCTTATGGTTTGTAATTGCCACAGCAAAAGTAAATACAATGTCAATGAAATTCTGCCAAGGCCTTATTTACTTATATTTACTTCTACTGTATTTGGGTAAGGATCAAATTCATTGAACTAACCTTGAGAAAAGAAAGGTTGTAACTACTCTGCATGTAGGTAATTTCCAAATTCCCAAGGACCACCTCACAGTTGTTGAACATCCTCTGGAGGCTCAGAAAGTGGTCTTCAAAAGTGCCCAACTGGGTGAGCTTGTTACTTGTCCCTTGGCAAACTGGAAACAAGGGGAAAAAGGTATCACATGAAATAAAGTAGAAAAACTAAAATAAAACAATCTTCACAATCCTCAACTAACTGAACGCTTCAGTGACTGAGGATAGTAATTCTGACTGAAGGCCACTCAGGACAAACATGATAAACAATGTTTAAAAGTTTATATAAGATGCAGTTCAAACTAAGGACAAGTTCATCTTTATAATGCAACTGTTTGAAAATATTAAAAATTCAAGGAGAAACAGATGAAAACCCCTGGAAATCTTTGAGACAAAACAGTCTATACGAGTTTTAGTAAAATGCACAAAAAAATTGACAATAATTGTATATTTACAATGTTAATAAATATATAATGAACTTTTACTTTGCAAAAAGATAACATGTCACATTATTATGCCTTGAAAGACTATTTACAAACATAGTTTCCTACCACAACTTTGTACAACCTAAAATCGATAACAAGAGTGTGAATTTAAAACCACTGACTGGAGACAAAAAATATGCTAAACTGATGCACCGAAGAACAAAATCAAATACTATATAAAATTTAGAAAGTAACATGAAAACACATTTGGTTACTAAGAAACCAGCATGTCTTTGTGTCTGCCACACTCTAAGGAGCCCGCCACCCAGGTGGAGGTGCAAGGGTTTGGCATCAATCGCTGGGATGTGGCCTCGGCACATTTAATGCCCTGATGTTTTCAGCTGTCAAACTTAATATAAGAAAACATTTTAAATTGGGGATGAAGTCAGACTATGAAAATACATTTGGTAGTCTATATTTAAAAGTAAAGGAGAGGATTATAATAAGGCCATGTTTATAAATTAGCTCTTTGAACAACATGAATAGACAAGCATAAGAAAACAAAGAGGTTTGGGACTTTTGAAGCAGGGAGCTGGTAAGCGACTGTACTTTGAGCCAAAACTATCATAAGTGAGGAAATATGGCCTCTGGCTTTGGAGGTTTGATTCAGACCTGACCAGGCAGGGCTGCAATCTGCAACCAGGTGGTTGAGCACAAAACCAAGAGCAGAGTCAATATGTGGGGACTTCCTGCGGAACTCTTCCCAAATCTGCATTTCTGTTTGACAGGCTCTTTGCTCCCTCCCCACGGTAGTGTTCTGCAGAGCATCACTTGACTGCCTGCTCTTGCATTTTGGTGCCAAGGCACTGAGCACATGTTCAGACACCACATAATGAACGTGAAGCGTTTACACCACCATTAACTATGAAGCAACCCTTACTTCCTCTTTGACTTTGTGGGGATTTCCCTCTTCTCCCCTTCTGTGGTCTCATTCAAATGTGGTGGTAGAGAGAACACTCACAAGGGAACTGCAAAGGCTCACAAGACACAGCCCCCTGCACTGGCTCCAGGGCACAGTGATTTCATCACTCTTTCCACCATAACACAGGACGGACCCAGCATCTCTGGCTGCCTTCCCTTACGAGTGTGGGCTGCTCTGATTGTGACCTCAAGTTGGAACCGCTGTACACAGTTGGCTGCAGTGCATGCACATGAGGCCAGACTGATTTCCCAATTCTAAGGTTCTTAAAGATGCCAGCATCAATGGAAGTGCAGGATTTTCACAACAACAGGTGACCTTTCTGGCATACCTTGAAACAAAAGTTGCCATCCAACTGATGGACTATGGTCCCTAAATTTCAGCCTAACTGGTCAGCTCTGGTCTAGGCAGCCCCAAGTACTGGTCATGCCCTTCAGGCCAGCCAGGTGACCAGTGATGAGTAGAACTGAGTGTTGGAGCACGTTTCTGAAGGGTTTCTTCTGTACGCAGAAGGGTGAAAGCAATCACAAATGTTTTCATTTTAAATGCTCAAAGATAGTCATTTGTAAATTTCTCTTGGCTGAACTATTTTTATTATTAAATTATGTGAAAATGACTTTTGTCAGTTAAAAAGGAAAACATGTCAGGTAAGTTTACCCTGTTAAAGAAGAAAACGATGGCAAAAGGACTACACTTGTGTTTTTATTTATTCTTTCAAAAAGTGCTAAATGAGCACTGAAAGGATTTATTTGATGAATACCTACCATGACCCTTTGCTATTTACAATTACTCTAAGTTACTTTTATATTTAGAAAAAGATCCTATATTTGGAAGACAATAGCAACATTACACATTATTGATATGAATTTAATTTGTAAAACATTTTGGAAACAACTGAGCAAACTGTGCATACAAATAAATATGCTTAAAGTCTATGTCATGATGATTCCACTTTGGAAAACCTATTCTAAGGAAACAGACCTAAATTTTCATGCAGAATGTTGATATATTTTTTAATAATGGCAAAAAATTGCCCAACTGCCCAACATGTTTATTCTCAAGAAAAAGCAGCCAACACACTACTGGACTGAGTTAAAGGCAAATCCATCTTGAGTCCTACTCCTGGGCTAATGACTAAAGTATCAACAGAAAACATGACAAGGCTGCTTATTCTGAGGCTTCTCTGCCACACACATAAAGGGAGACAGCAGGTCTGGGGTGAGGATGCAAGTGGCCTGGCCTGGGTTTCTTGACTGAACAAGGTATATTTGGTATACATACCAAATATCTCATGTTATGTAATATAGAATATTTAAATGTGAGACCATTAAATCAGTAATATTGAAAAATAAAAATCACTAACTAGCGAGGCAGACTTAAGGCAAACTGAGAGAGGAAAAGCTCCGCGCTCAGCCAGGAGAAAGCTTCTGGTCAGCACTTCCTCTGTACGCAGACTTCCCGGAGCTCCGCAGCACAGTTTTCTCAAATACAGACTTGGTAAAATCCACTCTGGCTTCCCAGAGCTGTTCTGAGAAGTGAATGAACACAAAAGCTTCAGGTTTCTTTTGTTACAGCTAACTACTCGGAACTGTGACAGCTGCCTTGACATAAGGTGTGCCTGGACAGAGCTGGGGACTTCTGTGGATGTGTCCTTGTCCTGCAATACTGTGTGAACTGGCTGCATTTGGTTGGCTTACTCAAATACTGGGCATTAAATAGAGTTACTCTGTCAGAAGAATATTTATCCCATGAGAAGAAGAAAGAAAAAATAATGTATTGTACTTTAAGAATTTCATTGAAATATGCATTTAGGATTAGGTTTTTAAGCAATTTTTATTCAGAGAGAAATTTAATATTACCTTAGGCTAAGCCTTTGAAAACCAGACAATTAAAAGTGTTTGTGTCAAGCTCCATACAACATGCTAGAGATCTGCTTTCCCTCCCGCAAATCTGATGACAAATTCTACTGAAACAAGAAGGGGGCCTTCAAAGCACTCAGCTTTTCATCTTCACAATTTATTATGATGATTCATAAATGGACAAAAACCTAAAAGAATTGTACTGTGAACATCCTTAAAGTAGCATTTTATTATGTTAACTTTAACACATACATCCATCTAATTTTTTCTATGCATTGTAAAGTAAGGCACAGATAGCAGTACCCTTCATCCTGACATGCCACTGGTTACAGTTCAAGATTACTGAGGGCGGTTGTTGAGGTAACATCACAAACTGTGAGATAATCAGTATTGTACTGTGAACATCCTTAAAGTAGCATTTTATTATGTTTACTTTAACACATACATCCATCTAACTTTTTCTATGCATTGTAAAGTAAGGCACAGATAGCAGTATCCTTCATCCTGGCATGCCACTGGTTACAGCTCAAGATTACTGATGGCGGTTGTTGAGGTAACATCACAAACTGTGAGATAATCAGTAATAAGTGTAGCACTGATGAGTTCCAACAAACACTTGCAGCTGTGTAACCTATACTCCTGTCATGCCCAGAACATCACGGTCACCCTGGGAGCTCCCTCATGGCCCTGCTCAGACAGCCCCTGCCCCAGACACCACAAACTGCAGATGTGCTTCCAGTTAGGGCAGTTCTGCCTGTCTGGGGACTTCTGCTCACAGAATCACACGGCACCCTAGGTACCAGGGTTCATGTGGTGTCCAGAGTCAAGCTGTTCTCGTTCTGAAGAACCAACCCCCCCCGCCAATCTATCTGAATTGAAAATAAAACAGTCGGCCTCCTTTAAGTCCTGAGACAGGCCTGATTTGACCGGGAGAGCCTATGGCTTTCCTGTGTCATTGTGGCGGTGCACCTCTCTCTTTGCCCACAAGCCCGGGCAAATCTGTAAGGCTAAGACATAACACTAAAACAGGTCTCTCCAGATTTTCCCAAATCCACTTAGATACTTTTGGAATTGCCTAATTGTTTTAATTTGCTTTCTCTATGCTTTGATGGCAGCCAAGGTCACTGGGCACTTGCAAAGCTCTCCGCGTGGCCTCCAGAACTGTCTGTTTTTATTATTGCCTCATTTGCCACAGAGCACCTCATTTTGAAGCAGCAATAACATCACACTGCTCTGGGTTTGGACCAGCGGGGTTTCCCAGGGCAGCAGAACGGAGGATGGGGCCCTGCCCGGGCCTCTCCCACCACCTCTCCCGGGCTCCCTCCCCGCCCTCTGGTCCAGCCAAGCCTCCCAGTTTCTTCCAGCCACCAGGTTCCTGCCCCCTTCAGGGCGCTTCCATCTACTTGGAACACTCTTCCCTTTCTCCTCAGGTCTTTGCATTTTTGTGTCCCTTTTGTCACTGAGATTCTACCTCAGTGGACATGACATCCCTTCAGAAAAGCCTGTTCTGGGACTAGGTCAACTTAAGTCCCCACCATTGCATTCTATCACATTTTTCTGATTTCTTTTCTTCTTAGCATTCATCACTACTTAAAGTTATTTGTTTATTATGCAAATACAAAGAGTGGGGAGAGGTGGAATACACACATATCTCCTTGGACTGACTGCTGGGATGTGAATACACATGTTGTGTTTACATTTTAATGAAAGCAATGGGCTGATAGTGGTCATGTGACCAGAGTCTTGGATGACTTGACAAGGATCTCTCAACCTTTCCTGTTTCTGTGTCTGGTGGTAGAGAAGGAAGTAGGATGTCTCAGAAGAGTGTCAGTCCTCACAGCTTTCTGGTTGTTACTGTA